ACAAGAGTGGCATGACAAAAGTGGCGTTAAAATTTTAAGTAATTTGACCAAAAACTTTTAGACAATATGGAAAAAAATGCTATACTGGTGTGTCAGATCAGGCAAAAGTTTCATTTACAGTACATTCAACCAAAATACCACTTATGCGTGTATGATCCTGAGTGTGCTAATATCTTACGTTCGTGCACAGCCTTGAATTTACTGTTTGCAGCAAGTTGCTTTAAAATTGACTCCATGAACTTAACAAATCATTCTTCCCTAGTTTTGAAGAAATGTCCCTGTATGTATGACAATCTTTAAGCAAAAACAAAATTCCCTTGGAGGCCATTAATACAACATTGGATTCTATAAATAGTAGAGTTGCTCAATATGAAGTGTCTAATTATCATGTCAAAAATATACTATACCTACTGTAGACTGTAAAATCTTCCTGGATATTAACCCTAGGAATTCATCTGGCTGTCACCACAGTTCGTTGCTGCCATGTTTTGTTGTAAATTTTCACATTGCTAGTTTCGGTTAATAAACAAACATTCTGTAGCTTGACTACATTATTATGTGGCATCCGATAACACACACAAGTGAAAAAAGGGATGGAATAGACTACTGTTGAAATGAACAGATTTTTCCACATCAACTGTGAAGAAACTTCAGCAAATTTTATTTCTATGGTAATTTGTGAAGCAAATAATTATATGCTGTAATAGCAATCAGCTTCATAATACTGCAATGCATGCACCTCTGTTTAGGCAAGAAGATCCATACTGTTACACTTTCTAAATGATTATTACCATGTTTTCTTTAATCAAATCAAATTGACATAGCCATCATTACTATGTCATTCTAACTATATGAATACAGACAATAAGCACCACATAGTAACCTAAACAGATGACATTTGTTTTATGGCCTACAGATCATTTGATAAGTGATCTATGAAACTCCTAACCCTCTAGGGAAGGGACAGAGAAAGTCCTGTGCCAAGGAACTAACCAAGAGTATCCCAGTTATAAAGTGTGCAGTTAAAAAACAGTCTCAGGCAAGTTTCATCACTGTGAGGGACAAGACTTTCATTCTATATGAAGATATCATCATTAAAAGCACCTAACATTTTATACATTAAAAAAAAAAGTTAATCTGAGAGGTAGTGGCAATAAACTGGAATAAAAAGCTCTTCATGTAATAAAACAATATCTCTGAGCTTTCTTTAAGGCATTGAGATGGGAAAGAAAAGTAAAAATAATTAGCTCTTCAAGAAGTGAATAAGATCCTTGAGCAGTCTTTATTGGGAGGAAATGCATAAAATTAAGCAGAGGTTATCTGCTCATGAGGCCAGCACTTTATTACTGAAAGGGAAGACTCGGCAAAGAGATATGTTATAAAATTTGAGTGTGTTGAATAAAATTTTCTCATAGACACAGTTTATAAGGAAGCATGATATACAATAAGCAGCATTAGACTAGATCATATTACAAAGGGTCTCCGACTTACGAACACCTGCCGATACAAACGGGGTTAAACTTGAAATTTACAGTATTTTATTTACCCGATGACTTATTTTTTTACTTTCATTTGTAATTTGTCATTCTAGTTCGCTTTTCTCTTAAATTAAGTGATTTTCGATGTATATAAGGACTTAGGCTATGATATAGTGGGATTTTAAACATTGTTCTGTAAGTATGGTATGCACATAGCATATTACACATCAGAAAGAAAAAAAAAATTATGTTAGGGATACCATAAATTTAATTATAATGGGTGTTTGGAATGGTGATAAGAGTAAAGGGTGTGAAGTGTGGAGTGGTCAAGTGAGTCAAGTTGGTTCTCCATTGTGGTATGGACATGTGAGAAGGATGCAAGAGGATAGGATGGTCATGATGGTGTACAGGGGTAACCTACATAATGGGAGAAAAGGGTGGAACAATACATTTAGAAGTGAATAAGATATGGGATAAAAGTAGTAGAAAAGACAAAATAATTATGCAGTGACAGGGTGGTCAGGAAGTTCTGTGTCATAGCCCCAGGGAAGTGATGAATAGTAAATAAAATGAAAATTCAATAAAATAAAGTTCATTACCACCAAGTGTATCATGAAAATATGATCAAGCCTAAAATGCCATCAACTTGAAACAATAACAAGCTGTAAATCTGCAAGAAGATAGGAAAAATTATCATTTATCCCTATGAATGCCATTACATTCTTAATCAAACTTAGCATTATCTTTATCAAAGACACACAGTGGAAGACCATTCCATACCTTATGTGAACTGTGTTGGAATGATATCTGTTACAATGTTACAAATTAGTTTATTTTTAGAACATGGGTAAATCTTCTCAATAAAACACGTAACTCTAGTGCTGGGTTATCATAAATGAGTATGGATGAAAATCATAGAACTATCAGATAAGGCTGTGACTGAAGTGTATTATTTGGGATGTGCTAATCCCATAAATGTTGTACTATCAGGATATGCAGATCAACGCAATAATGTTTACAACTGCACAGTGAATCAGAATGGTCAAATTGCCATAAAACACCACCACCTCAAAATTTCAATGTAAATTAAAACCATGGAGTGTTTTGTGAAATCAAACGTACATATATGAGATAAGGTACAGTATAGAGAACACTTAGTCTTTGGTTCTATAAAGAGCATAATGGAGTGTAAGTAACATGTATTAACAGTATGGCTAAGTAGGAAAAATAAAGAGGACTGATGTCTGAGACTGAAATTCATGACTGAGAGTTAGAATCATGTGAACTAGCTTAAGATTTATCCTAGCTTCTTTAACAACCACTGAACTAAGGTTCAAAATTTGGTTCATAAACCAAGATTTGACTGGGTTAGGGAACCTTTGCATAATCTGAATGGCCCTTGTCCCTGCCTCAGAATGTAGATAGCTCCATAGATGAGTTAGGAGGATAGGCCTAATAATGTAAGTCACTTAGTAAATTGGAAAGAGCTTACCTTAACATTGCACATTCAATAGCTAATATTAACACATCTTCAATGGTTAAGTATGTTGAGAATGGTTGTCAACCTAGGGTATGCCACAGGGTTTACAATATTGACTAAACTGGTTGTTATTCATGTTCGATTTATCTAAAGCAAGTCATTTTATGAAATTCAAATTACTAGTAACAATTGAATAAAATGAATGAGCATTAAAATGACACAAACATTAACATACATGCTATCTACTCCCTTTCCTCCTTCTGGTAACTGAGAAAAGCAATTCCTAAACATGTAACATTCTGGTGGCCTTGAATAAAATACTCGTAAAAGGCTAAAAAGCCATACAGTAAACCCTTGCAATTCGCGGGTTTGCGATTCGCGATTTCGGCTATTCGCGGTAAGCAGATGATGGCTACTTTACAAGCCTCCCCGCAACACAACAAGTCACCCCCACGTGCCCACAGAGTCACCTTTCCCTTTGTTTATCCTCAACAAGTGCCTGCAATGCAGCATCTCTTATGTTGTACTCTCAACTTTAGTGTTTCTATGTGAAATGGACCCTAAAAGACTGCCTAGTGTCAGTGCTAGTGATGCTAGTGGAGTGAAACGTTTAGAGACCTCGAAGCCAATAGAAAACAACTACCAATCACGATGTTTATCAAGATAGAACCAGCCACTCGCCAAGCTATTTCATCTCCCTCACCTACTACTCAGTCAGCTGCTGCCACCACTCCACCACCTACCTACCCGGGCCACCCCGCCATACGCCTAACCGCCACGCACCTTCCCGCCACGCGCCTCCCCACCAACCACCACTACATCATCCACCTCCCTGCCACACGCTTCCCCGCCACACGCCTCCTCATCACAAGCCTCTCCACCAACCACTACTCCATCACCCTCTTCCAACAGTGATCCTGATGATCTCCGTATGCCTCAGTTACCAGATTTCATCCTACTGAACAGTACACTTCATCAAACTCCAAACTTTTACATACAGAGAAGAGTAGTATTGATGACTCAATTTTCTCATACACTGTATAGGTATACAATAGTGCACAATGAAAGGATAAGTTGCTATTTGTGGTTTTGCCAATTTGCGCCATTCCTTGGAACCTAACCCCATGAATAGCAAGGGTTTACTGTATTGTATTGTATTGTACTGTGGTGGAATACCAATACCTTGCACTCTCTAGGTTTATTTTTTTTACTTGCAAGATAATTGCAACCAAGCAACTCCACTGCACCTGGGTGTGTAGTGCTATCAGAAATAAACCTTCATTTTAAAAGCTCCTTTCAATCTACAGTAAACCTCTGCCTGATTTACTCCAGCAGCTAGAAATCTAAACAGCCTTAACACAACCAAAATACCAGTAATAAAATTTTATTGTAAGACTAAAGTGAGTAACAGTGAGTAACCTGTACTTCACATCGATATTTGGTTATGTGAGAAACACAAATACAGCTGCTTCCCGACTTACGACGGGGTTAGGGACCCAAATCCAGGTCGTAAGTCGAAATGGTCATAAGTCGAAAATGCTTAAATAATACTGTACATAGAAAATCTAAAATGGGTGTCTCTTTTTCTTCTCAGCACCACAAAACTCTCACTTTTAAGCTTGCCAGCCATTTTAAAGTGAATTACAAACGAAAATTTTGTCAGTACACAGCGCAATCACTGACGTTGGGACTCGAAAATACGTAATTTGAAAATATTTTGGGACGACTGAGGCGGTCGTATGTCCAGGTGGTCATAAGTCGAATAGGTCGTAAGTCGGGGAGGAGCTGTACAAGATAAGCAAAGAAGTTATCCTTTTACTAATGAACATGATTTCAGATACTTTCAACCTGAAGAATTAATTTGTATTCAGCAACACATTTTACTCTACCCTCCAAAGATTGCTCATTCCCATATTCTTAATACTGTACCCCAGAAAGTAGAAATTTGAATTGAAACAAACATTTCCAAAACAATTACAGTATTTTCAAAGCTGAAAAATTATATAGTGGTGATACAAAACAAAAGAAATTCCATCACTGACCTTAAGCCCTTTGGGCTGCGGGTCATGTCGGATTGATAGTACTATTTCATTGGGTGGATTAAGAAGTGCCATGACAGCTTCTTGATGGGATGCTCCTGTCATGTCAGTCCCATTAACTGCTAAGATACGATCTCCCATACGAAGCTTCCCTGTTTTATGGGCTGCTCCACCTGCTGTGATCTGGTAAAAGTTTTTAGCTGATATATGCTACACAAGGGCTATGTTATAATAACACCAATTACACACTCTTACCAACAAACAGTTTCATTTTTTTTATCTCCAGTACAGTACATGAAAGATTATAAAAAACAAAACACAATTCATATATACATTAAATTATATCTCAAAAGACACTGCAGAAAATAAAAAAAAAGCTCTTATGGGATGATGGGATATATGTGGTTATATTCTGAGTCCTATGTGGTATGTTCTGGATCCCAAAACATTTCCCTCATATTCATTTATATCACAAAAATAGTTACTTGTACTGTACTCTAAGTCGCATACGTATTCATTTTACTACAACATACTGATGAATTAGAGAATATGTTTCAATGAAATGACTCATCACAACAGTGTTTTGAAAAATAAAAATAAAAAATAAAAATCTAAAGAAAAATGCACATGAACTACTGTACTTTGGGCAGCAATCACACACAATACCTATCACTCCACTGCATACCCAAGCATCAGTATAGACATCAACAAAATATCATTTAACCTTTACAAAACCTTGCAAAAAAAAAAGTGTAAAATAACCAACTATAGTATTTCCACGCTAACCTGGCCCATAAGCCAAGCACCTCTTCTATAAAAATAGCCGATTGGTTCATAGAAAATGTTCGTGTAGCTGTCCATTTATTCAAACTAAATGTGTTCACAATTGGTAAGCAGACCTGTTATTCTTTAAAATAATGTTAAATATCTGGAATATCAAAATGAAAATAATTTCAAAGCATTAGCACTTAAGAGAGAATGTTAGATATTTATCATAAAAGGTCAAAGATGAAATTCGCTTTTGAATGAAGTCTTTTAATTATTTCTTTGTTTTGTACCAAACATAAAGCAAACATAAAGAAATGATACCAAAAATATAGTACTATAGGTAATGAACTACAGTTTGTATGGCTGTATACATCCCAAATACTGTAATTTAACAACTGATAAAACTTGATATAAAAATGCACAGTCCGGGGGGGGGGAGGTAAAATGAATAGGGAAACAGCCACTGGATTTGGTGGGAATTTTATTCATCTTGATACAAGGCACAACAGCCAGCAGACGTAAACTGTCAACAGATGTCAGCGCTGTGGTACTTAACCAACAAAAATATATCTCACACCCATGAACAGATTAGTAAATACTTTATCCACTAACTTGGCATCAGCCCATCTTAAATGCTGGGTTGTGACAAGATTTAAGTAATAATATACGATACGAAGTATTAAGAAGCAATGTAGAGGTTTAACATTATCATCCACTGTCATTAAGTATCAAGAAATTTGATGCAAATGAACGAAAATCTCGGCCAATGACGGACGAGGTATAGTTAATTTGTGTGTCATAGTATTCTAATGTGAGCTCTACCATATTGGCAGTACGAGTCAAGTGTCTGGCTGATCTTTCACTATCAGCTGATCACCTATCAATCTGGCCGCCAAGTCCAGTGGCTGTTGTTCTCCTAAGCGTATTACCTCCCCCAGGACTGTGCATTTTTATATCGAGTTTTATCAGTTATATAAATTATTTGGGATATATACAGCCATGCAAACTGTAGTTCATTACCAATACTGTACAGTAGTCCCTCAATTAACGAACGGTTCAATTAACAAAATTTTGGTTAACGAATTAGCTCCCATAAGGATTTTCAGTTCCATTAACGACAGCCTTACGAGAAACACGCTTTGTTGTGCGCATCAGCTGATCGGCTAGTCTGCCAATACAGTACAGTGATCCCTCGGTTAACGAATTACCTTCCATAAGATTCTTCACTTCGGTTAACGAATTCCTTATGAATTTTTTCAAACATGTTTTCGCCTGCTTTTGCCTGATCACCAGCTGTAGTATTAGTCCGCCAATACAGTAATCAGTTTTAGGGCTTAAATTCGTTACCATTTGAGTAAATATCAAGAAGGTTGTACTATTCAATAATTTTCCAAGTCTTATATTAAAGTTTTTAGTCATTTTAACAATTATTAAACATAATTGAAGTATACAGGGAACTAGTTTTAGCGCGCCAAACAGCCACTTGCCTCACCCAAAATGGCGTCAGTGTGTGTCCCTGCTCAGTGGAGGAAGCTTCTTGCTTGAGACTCTCTTGAACATAAACTATTTTTACATTTTTACAGTACAATTATTGGTCATTCTGAAGTTTATTTTACATATTGACAATATAAAATGCAGCACAGTGTTGATTTAAAGAAAATAATCTTGAATTACACCAAGTGAACTAAAATTTTATGGGTGAAATGGCAGCATGGGGTGACTTCTCTTCCACCCCAATGCCTTCTCTTCTCCCTTCTCCTCCACCCCCATTCTAATTCCCATCATCATCAACTAGGAGCCTTCTACATGCACACCTCAAAGTAGTGTACTTTATTGCATTTATTTTTAGTTTGTATGTAATTTTCGGTGAGCTGGAACCAATTACCCAAAATCCCATTGAAACAATGGTTTCGGTTCACAAAATTTTCGGTTAACAAACGACCTTCTGGAACGAATTGTGTTTGTTAACCGAGGGACCAAAGTACTGTAATTGGTTCTGTGTTTACATTCGTTTCTGTATGTATATTATGTATGTTGTATGTATACATGTATGTACACCATCTATATACATTACTTATCTAGTCAGTAGCGTGTGGCAATGCCCCTTTTTCATGTCACCACACACTTAGATAACATGCCTGGCGACATCTGGAAGCTGCTAATGTACCACTTGTCACATGTCGCCTGAGAAGTCAGAGAGAGGTCAGTTGACCCATATAGAGTGTAGGGACTACCGGCGCTGGGATTGCGCACCTCTGTACTTCCATCAAATAGAACCTACAGAACTCTACAGGTGTTTGTGTTCTCTCCTGTAGTTAGAACTGAGTACCCAGAACCCCTACATGGCGCAGTGAGTACCTACAGTTTCCAATGGAGTAAATATCAAGAAAGTTGTGTTCTTGAGTATTTTTGCATTTTTTTATTAAAATTATTGGTCATTCTGAAATTTAGTTAACATATTGATAATATATACAGTACAGGGAACAGTTTTTGTGTGCCCTTCAGCTGATCAAATCACCCACCAACGCTTCTCATTTTAACTTTGTTTACAGTGGAGTGAACATCGAGTTTGTTGGTCTCTTGAATATTTTTGCATTTTTTCATTACTGTAAAATTATTGGTCATTCTGAAATTTAGTTAACATGTTGATAATACAGTGGTCCCTTGATCAACAAACGGTCCAATTAACAAAATTTTGGTAAACGAATTAGCTCCCATAAGGATTTTCAATTCCATTAACGAACAAAACTTTGATTAAAGAAAGCCTTACGAGAAACACGCTTTGTTGTGCGCATCAGCTAGTCCGCCAATACAGTAATTGGTTCTATGTTTACATTCATTTCCAGTGGAGTAAATATCAAGAAAGTTGTGCTCCTGAATATTTTTGCATTTTTACATTAAAATTATTGGTCATTCTGAAATTAGTGAACAAGTTGATTATATACAGTGCAGAAATTATTATGAAACATGAAGAAGGCATTAGAACCAAAGCACTCTGTAAAAAATATGGCATGACATCATCGACTGCCTCTACAATCAGCTGTTTGATATGTAAACAAAACCGCCGGGAATGCGACATACACACCTCAAAGTAAGTTAAAATACAGTATTCTACTATTGTTTTTTATTTATTATTATACAGTATACTGTACAGTACAGTACTGTATTTAGTTTATATTTAATGTTTTGTTAATTCTATTACTGGTATACAGTACTTTGTTTGTACTTTTTATGCGAGTTGGAACCAATTACCCAATATCCCATTGAAATAATAGATTCAGTTAACGAAATTTTCAGTTGACAAAGGACTCTGTGGAACCAATTGTGTTCGTTAATCGAGGGACCAATGTAGTACTAAATTTTTGGTATTATCTGTTTCTGTTTGGTACAAAACAAAGAAATAATTAAAAGACCTCATTCAAAAGCAAATTTCATCTTTGACTTTGACCTTTTATGATAAATATCTAACATTCTCTCTTAAGTGCTAATGCCTTGAAATTATTTTAATTTTGATGTTCCAGATATTTAACATTATTTTAGAGAATAACAGGTCTGCTTACCAATTGTGAACACATTTAGTTTGAATAAATGGACAGCTACACGAACATTTTCTATGAACCAATCGGCTATTTGTAGCTATATAGGAGGGGCGTGTCTTATGAGCCAGTTTAGCGTGGAAATAGTAGTGTGATATTGTTGCCTTTGTATCAAAGAAGGCAAGGAAAGCCATTAATTTAGAGATAAAAATGGATGTGCTACAGCACTTTGACAATGGAGAATGAGCTGTGATCATCAACAGGGTGCTTGACTTGCCAGCAATGTATGCTGACACCAATTAGTAAAGAATAAGCTTAAAGTAAGATTCCCTAAAAGTGGTGCTAGAATAACAAAAGGCAGAGTTAAGGCAAAGGATAGTATGAAAAAATCTTTAGGTGTTTGGACTGAAGATCAAGGTCAACAGAACATTCCAATGAGTTTGATGATGATCCGAGAAAAAAGTAAAATAAATTTATCATCGATCTCTTTTGACATTTCACATGAATAATATGTTATTTTCTAGATTCCAGCCATTTTGCATTATAAATGGAAAAAGCATAAACGAGAAAAGAAAAAAGTAGATTATAAACTCACTTTTGATATGTATACTCCTGGATCATCAGCTGAAGTACCAAATGGAACACAGAAATGGTCTGATCCTCCAATAATGCTCAGCCCTAATGGTCCTCCATCTTTATACAACACTACTTCCTGAAAAGAAAAGATGAAGGTTCAAAGAGAAGAATCACAATATATATATATATATATATATATATATATATATATATATATATATATATATATATATATATATATATATATATATATATATATATATATATATATATATATATATATATATATATACACAGTGGGGTATGCTATGACGAACGGATCCTACTACAAATATTCCTATAACGAACGATTTTACCAATAAAATTGAGAATGCTATAACGAAAGAAACTCTATTTCAATTAATCCCATATGTTATGTTGTTCACTTTACGCGTTTCTCACTTTACGCGGGCCGCCGTGGGTTCAATTAACCGCGTAAAGTGAGGGTTCACTGTGTATATATATATATATATGTATATATATATATATATATATATATATATATATATATATATATATATATATATATATATATATATATATATATATATATATATATATATATATATATATATATATATTATCACTTTACTGTGAAATACATTATCTTTGCAAGGCTATATTTTCATCTGTTACATATACAAATCAACATTCACTTCATAAAAAAAAAGGTCAATGGTAATGCAATGACCACAATGATCATATCCAAACCTAAACTCTTCATTAATTATATATTTTCACACCTATTCACCAATAAAAAAATTTCTTAAATTTTCGTCAGATTTACTATGTCCAAATACTGTAGTGGGGTGGCGATAATTCGTAAAATACAATCTAGCATAAATTCACGGATACCTCTATTAATACCTCGTTTTTAAATTTTGCAGTCAAATATTCATAATTTGCAACCAAGTGCTGACTGCCACAGTGTTTATTTACATAAGAAACCATAAAAGTTGTGGAAACATAATTTCACTGCTCTAGTTTTTCTTAGAAATAAAGAAAACATAATATAAATATCACTTCAATGCTCTAATGTGAGTTAAGAAATAAAGGAAATACTGTACTGTATAATATAAAACTATGAAATAAGAAAAATTAAAAAGTGATAAGAAAATCGTATGTGGGAAGCAGGGCGGTTGGGTAATGGAATGAGCTGCACCCCCTCCCCACCACCAATCCCGAGCACTCGGCACCCTTCTAACCTCATTAATACTCTGCAGCATTATACAATTTTATTATAATTCCCATATTATTTAGGTTCATTGGGTACCGGGTTAATAAAACATTATCCTAGAGTAATAAATTAAAAAGGGGGGGAATCCCACTCAACCCCAAAGGAGTTATTTTGTGGCATTAAATTCCTGCTTTTGTCGACATTGTGTGGTCACCGGCACCTGGCTGTCTCCATGTTGGTGTATTGGTGTAACCCACACAAAATTATGAGAAGGGAAGGAGCACTTTATGTACAATATCTCAAAAAAGTATCTGTCCACACTGTGTGTGTAACATTATGAGACCACAGATGATAGATATTGGGACATGAATTTACTTTGGTATAAGTTAACATGGGTAATGCAATGTGCATTTATTTTGGTGGAATTAATATGATGTTTTGTTACCAAATGTAGCAGGATCAGTATGCCACAGAGCCACGCATACCAACCCACCCGGGACGTCATGAGTTGCATGTAGCAGATACTTTTTGTAAATACTATTCAGTAATATATAGCAAATTTTTGTACAATATCCATGTGTTACTGTATTTCTTATATACTGTATTATGTATGATGTTTAGTGTTTCATTAAAGCAGGTTTGAAACAGTTTATGGGTATTTCTAGGTTCTCTGGTACCAAACTAACTTTTTCCACTTACTGTATATCAATTTAACTCTAATTCCCAATTTGATAATTCACGATATCTTTTGGTACCTAATCCATGGATAATCAAGACTTCACTGTACAGTATAAGGAATTAATTTCTATCTGCAACAAACAGTCCCTACTCTCTATGATGCTTAACACAGATCTTAAAAAAAATTGTATTATAAGCCAATTTTAATACAATACTGTACAGTAGGCTCTCGCCAATAACGACTTCCACAATAACGTTTTCGACAATAACGGTAAGTTACAATAGATACCCATTTTCGATTATAACGTCTGGATTCTCTTGAATAACGGAAATTTCGCGAGAAGCGTCCGAGCGCATCAATGATAGCGCTTGTTTGCCGCCATGTTGATGACGTAGTTGTCCGCTCCGCCTCACTCTCACACACGCTCAGTGGAATACAACACTGCGCCCACGTGTGAGATTTTCGCCACTATAACCAGTGGTTGTTAGGGTCGGTGATCAATAATGGCTTCCGCATATTTGCCTGTGGGGGGCTAGGGGAGATGGTGGAGGGAGTGATTTGCCACCTGAATGACTGGGAACTTTTAAAGTGAGCAAATTGAACTGTCCTGAGTCTACAGTGCGAAATATTAAGAGGAACTTAGCGGAGACCAAGAAGTGTATTGCGCTGGCTAAAAATATTTCGGTAGTGATGGAAATGCGAGGCGAGCTATGAATGATAAAGGCAACAGAAACAGGTTGTTAGTGATAACAAAGCAAATTCTTGTGAAATGGTTAGCTTGTAGAATGAAAGGCAGTGCAAGTGTTAGCGGCTCTCAGATACGGAACAATCATTACACCAAGCACCTCAAAAACTCCCCCAAGCTAAGTGTTATATTACTCAAACTCTTTATTTTGATGATTGAATAGCAATTCTTTTTATTTCAGCTAACAAGAAGTGTTAGGGGGGCTTCAAGGGGAAAAATGGGTGAAATTCTTGTGGCGGCGGCACCAATAAACCCTTTTTACATGTATTTTAATGTCACACAAATAACGTTGTCGCTAATAACGGTGTTTTTCAGGCACCTATTAAACGTTATTGGTGAGAGCCTACTGTACATCTTTTATAAAAATTATTCGTTTTGTGTTCTGTCATGCACTTTGCTCTTGCACAAGCCAAACTACAAAGAAAAACAAAGCAACACATACATATCACAATAAATGTAGTTCGCTACAATTTTAAAAACCCATCTAGCAAAAAAAATATTTCTTGGTCTTCAGTTATATTTAGTTCAAATCTTAAACAAGAAAATAATAATCTGTTCCCATGACACAGCTCCTCCTCTTGGAGGTGTCACAAGTAGATTTGTCCTAATACTTGCATGACGAGTGAATTGTAAAAATCCAAGTCATGTTATTAATAGTTCCTTTTGTATTTTACATGCACTTCCTTGTATTGAATAGAGAAAACAATACAAACTTCTCCCTCTCATTGGAGCTAATACATACAACAAATTAGAAAGACAACTCATACACAAAGCTTAAGATATCAAAATACTTCATTCAATGTATCAAGATGACTAAAGAATATAAGTTACACTTTACTCCATTACAGTGCATTCACATCAAACATTTATTTCTATTCATGATACAGAAAAACAGTAACCATAACTGTAGTATCAAAGGGAACAATATTAATAAGTTCTCATTCAACAAACTGAATAGAAGTCCAATGTTTGCAGGAGTGTGTGTTAGTCAGAAAAAAACAAAGCTGCTACTACTCACAGTTCCAGAAAAGAAAAAGATTTACCTTCTAAAATGAAGATTGCCTCAGAGAACTTCATTTTTCTTCTTCCTACCTGCAGTCCAAGGTCAAAGTCTGTTGTCCTGTTCCTCACTAGCCTAGACTTTCAATGTAAGTTTATGTGCAACATGTTAATTGCCATCTATGTTCCTGATCTAATGCAAATAGTCCCATTTCATTATTATTAGCCTCAACCAAAGTGATAAGTTATGAGTGTTAATTAATCTGACCAGGTTCTGAGCTGGTTAGACCACAAGAGAACCTACCACCACAGTATGTGAACCAAAGGACTTTATTGTGTGTTTCAACAACATCCACCATGCAAACAAAGGGTGTTGATTAAAGACATCAAATTTAAAACTTGCTTATAAAACTTGTGAAGGAATATGGATTACGAATCTGATGAATGCCATCAGGTGATCTATGCTATAATAGTGGTAGAAACAAGAGTGAGAGCATACAAGCCCCTGAACCCATTCTAAATGCAAGCAGTTACATGTCACTAGGAAGTAGTTATATCTAATGACTAAAATATCAGTGCTGTACATGACTAGGTATACTGATCTAAGTGACTTTGTCCTTAGTAACTTGTGAAAATAGCCCTAATCTCTTTTATTCTCATTCACATTTAATCTAAAGTCTGAATTTTTAAAACACAAGACATGAAAAAGAATCACAATATTATTACATTTAGTCATTCATTAGTGATAGTTAATTAGAAAAACAAAGTTGCATGAGAATATTATTAATTTAGAAGAATGTTCAAGGCATTTAGATCATTACCACACAGCATCCTGTGCCAATCTTTACATAAATATTATTTATTGTGCTTTGGTGAACAAATTTTAAGGGAGAGGACCTGAGTGATATGCAACCTACTCACTACAAAAACTTAAAATTATTAAGTGCAAAAGTTATTAGCTATGCAAAAGAAATAATAATGTCTACCCTCTCTTTTCATTGTTTGTATTCTAAATAAATTACTGGAATGGTCAAGAAGAAGGTAAGTCATTGCGATGGTTATACAGTTAAAAAAGACATATGATAATATTAAATGAACTTTCATTGTAGCTCAATTACTTCTTCGTGCTTGATATAATTTACTTTTGCTCATGAAATTGACAGTTTTATGACAAGGCGTTCTTCCACAAATAATGATACTTTGCATGGCTGGAGCTGAGAATGCCACAATTGAAATTTATAGAATGACTTACTGAATAGAAATAATGATCTAATTAAAAATTACCTCTAATAATGCAATAATCAGTATTGAAAACTTAAACATACAAAAAGTATTAAAAGAACTGAACAGTTTACGGATAAGGTCAACAAGAATTTTTTTTCCATCCAAAATGGCTTACAGTACCTTTTAGTTGCTTTTACTTTGTTTTCTGATGATTAAAATCAATAATGAAAGCTCTTTATCATTGATCTGGTTCTAATAGTATCCATCACACTAAGGAGTGTAGATGAATATATAATTGTGATCAACTGTGTTGATGCACCAATACAGGGGATACTATCAATTAAATGATATATATGATTAAAAAACAAGTGAAGTGAGAGGGTCATCACATACTAAATATGGAATTGCGAATATATTATATCAAATCAGAAAAAAATTAACTCAAGTTTTGTCTATGAAGATCACTAAAAGCATAGCAAATTTTGAACAGATGTCAACAATAGGACATAACTGCCTGTCCTCTCCCAGGTGTGACTGTGTTAGTGGCAGGTTCAGCCCACCTTACCTCAACCACAAGAGGCACATGGCCCAGCTTGTTGTCAGTGATCCGTGTTACTACTGTCTCGGTGAGCAGGGATTTGGTGACGGTCTCTGTGACCTTCCCTAACTTGGTGGGTGGAGGAGGGAAAGACACACCCATGGGGGTGTGGTCCGATGGCAAGTTGACTTTTACATGCACCGAGGAATTATCCTCATCTTGTGCTCGACCACCTTGAAGAAAATGCTGTGGAATCATGGCCTGAAAATCATCATTAGTGAGGGGTCGATGTGGGGCTACCTGGGTGGTGCCAGTTGGGATGGTCCCTCCAGTGTTGACTGCTAGTGATGCTGTTGGATCTGCAAGACCAGTTAGCTGTTGTTGTTGTTGCTGTTTGGTTATTGTGGCTGGAGATCCAACAGGACTACTATGAGGGCTATGGTTGGCATCTGGTAAGTTTGAGCCTGATAATCGCCCACCTGGCTGAGCACGTCTATAACCTGTGTAGCTTGGGCGATTGGCCATGTATGAACCCGCACTGTATAGTCCAGTATATGGTCGAGGCGCACCGAAGACTCTCGGAGATGATTTAGAATTGTTACTGTTACCCTGACCAGGGGGAACTAAAGTCTCACGATGAACTACTAAACGTACAAAGCGCTCCAGGCCAGTCAACATTGACACAGCTTGATCATGGCGAGCCCCATCCAAATCTACACCATTAATCTGAAAATAAAATAAGAGTCATTTCAAAGATAAATACTTACTCAATCATTTATAAATACTGGCTCTAAAGATATAGATAACTAAACTCCTTAAAATGGCAAATATTCTCCTTTTGATAAGACGGTATTTCTTTACTCGGTTGTTCCCTCCACCACCCTCTCAGTTTTTCCTTCTCTCGCCGGACACTCTTTTTCACCATATTTAACTTCTCTATACCACCCAAGAAGACATACCATGTTTCCTTCTTATAACAGTGCTCCTTATTCCAGCAAACTGTTCACCCCATACAATGCACACAAGCACGTCATTTCTGTTATTTCATGCATCTTGGGTCTATGCTTCAAGTTTGTACAATAATGTCAGCAACACTTTTCCCCTAACATTATAAATTTTTCCTCCCTGTGCCATAACACAGTTCTCTCACTCTCTATAAATTCCTCAATGACTTTTCACTTTATTTCCCTTACCTATGCTGTGAATCATAGTTTGTTCTTACATTCACTGGCACCTTACTCCACTATTCTGTCCCAGTTCAAACCAGTACAGTTGTCCCTCGGTTAACGAACGGTTCGGTTAACAAATTACCTTCCATAAGAATCTTCAATCCGATTAACGAAATCCTTACAAACATCACGTTTTGTTGTGAGCATCAGCTGATCAGCTGATGGGCTAGTATGCCAATTCAGTAATCTGTTCTATGTTTACATTCGTTTACAGTGGAGTAAATATCAATAAAGTTGTGCTCTTTAATATTTTTGCATTTTTTTATATTAAAATTATTAGTCATTTTAACATCTATTTAACATATTGATAATATATGCAGTACAGGGAACTAGTTTTTTGTGCGCCCATCAGATTCCCGACTCAGCCACAAGGCGTCAGTTGGGCTCTGTTGACAGTGATATTTTGTTGGTGTCTTAAATCTTTTTGCATTTATCATTGAAATTATTGGTCATTCTGAAATTTAGAAAACATATTGATAATATATAGTGCAGTGCAATGTTGATTTCAATAAAATAATCTTGAAGTACACCTAGTGAACTTAAAATTTTATTGGTGAAATGACGGCATCAAGCATGGGTCCCCTGATTCTCCTCCATCCCCACTTCCTTCTCTTCTCCCTTCTCCTCCGCCCCCACTTCTAATTCCCATCATCATCAACCAGGAACCTTCTACATACACACCTCAAAGTAAGTGTACTTTACTGCATTTTTTTTTACTCTATGTCCTTTTCGGTGAGCTGGAACCAATTACGCTATATCCCATTGAAACAATGGATTCGGTTAACGAACAACCCTCTGAAACGAATTGTGTTCATTAACCGAGGGACCACTGTACAGTACTCCTTTACTCTTCTCCTGCCCTGCCAATGATGCTACATATGCTGGTAGATGAGTCTACTTGTGTAAAACCTTGGACCTAAATAATTCTGTAAATGATTAGTACCACCAATTTGTAGTACCACCATTTTTTTTTGGTGGTGGGGGGTGAGAATATTCACAAATCTTTTACGAAAATATTGGGGGTTCTCAATGTTTTGAGAACCGTATAGTAGCTCACTGTTGGAAAATATGTCTAAAGTTACTGAAATATTTAGGAATCTTCAAAAAAAAAAAAAAAAAAAAAATACTCAAAGTTCAAAAATGGTCTTGAAGCAGTCTATGCATTATTCTAGAACATTACAGGTTCTGAAATTCATGAAACGATCTAGAATACAACTTAGGTATGTTATTAATGTTAAGAAATATATGAGCAACTATAACTGATAATGCCAGTTTTAGCCTGTTTAATCAAGACTCTGCCTCACTAATTTTTCCTTAACTTTGATGGACCTCCATCACAGTAAGTGATATGTTAGTCCTTAGGAGAAATGTTGGGAAGCAAAGTCTGTTGTAAATTTAAAATAGTAGACATATAAAGAAAGTTTTATCAACAAATGAGCAAGATGAAATTAGTTCCTTTGTAGTACACTTACAGATATAACTCTATCCCCAACCCGTAGTTTTCCATCCTTAGCTGCTGCTCCACCTTCTGTTATTCTGGATATGAAGATAGCCTAAAAAAAAAAAAAAAAAAAAAAGAATTACAGTACACATTTTAAACATTATATCAACATGCATCTTTAAAATAATGTATTATTAGATTATCATACATATACCCATAATTATACTTGTCTTTGTTACCATTACTAAATACATCACCCTAAACAATTTACATTTAAAGTGGCTACCCTCCACACCTCTAACAGGGAAAAAAATCTTTTGGCCTCCAAGCAATAAAGGCAATGTAGCCTAACTATCCATTTCAAATCCGTATTATTCTTAAAAAATCCAATGATCGTCTCAGGGATCAAGAGGGAAAACCTGGTCGAAGGCTCCACTCCACACCTCATTCATTTGGGTTCCACTCTGACCTTGTAGAGGGAACATTTCCCTTCACACAGATGTAATATCAACACCTAACTCATGCCCAATGGGAACATCAAGTAAGACCCCCCCCCCCCCAACATCGTATGAGTTATTCGCACTAAAATTTGAAAGCTGGGAAAACCGCGTTTAGAGTTGTTCTAACAAGCATAACTTTGTTGTTTTTTGAGATACAGCATTCATTTTTGATGCATTTTGAAACTAAAGGACTGTATTTGCAGATGGTAGTAGCACGTCATAAAGTAATGTACTGGATTGTTGCATGTTGACTTGAAGCAACAAAACTCCAACCAGCTTATGTCTTTTTTTATTTTAATCGATATAAGAGTGGAGATAGCACCACATCAAAAGAGAACTGAGGGAGAGGGAGAGAAGGATTCCGCCTCATTGGCTGGAGGGGCCGTGACGTAGATAGCAGACGCTCACTGTCATTGGCCGAGACGGGGGAGGAGGCTGCAGGCCAGCAGCTGTGATTGGCCGCTCACTCCTCTTACTCACTGACAGGGCGAGAACACCTGACAACGCAAAAGCCAAGCCCATACATTCCTGTCTGCCACAAATCAATGTTCTGCCCTATTTTCAAAGGGCTTTCAACCTTATTTACAGTGTAGTAAGGAGATCTTATCAACTACCACCGTATAGAGCTAGGCCGAAAATAGTGCTTTCCAACAAAAAATGGGTTTTGCCTGGGTGGTCTGAGTTACCCTTACGATGTAGGGGGCCGCAAGTCCACAAATGTTGAGGTCCATCTGTAGGTTAAATTTAGTAAATGACTTTTCAGTCTATCCTGTCATCCTGCATCATACAAAAATTTAAATTATTCTTTTCTGTGCATAAAAATCTGAATGAATTATTGATAACAACCATGTGTTACTACTTGCAAACTTCCTTTGTTATGTTCTTTTGAGGATTCTTGCACATACTGTATACCTAGTCATCTCTTTTAATATTGTGAAGAGACATATTTAGGTTAAGGTATGTCCCTTTATGCAGATCACTGCACATTTTATGAATGATAGCAAGGTCTGCCTGTAAGGTGATTCTGCAATTGATATTCATGAAGGTCTACCATAAGTTGTTTTTCATGTCCATGAGCCTGGCATTTGTCCCGTGGACAAGCTGATATTTTGAGAGGAAAACCTAGATAGGAATATGTCAAATGCTGTAACACCCTACCCTCCTGTAATATGTTTAACCCAATAAGTGTAGCAATTGGGAAAACAAGGGTACCCCATTAAGACAAAAAAGATGACATATGAAAGTTATCTTTTTTCTTATGAAGCTGAAGATATAAGATTTAGAAACCATAAACACCATATAAAAACTTTGTACACATACAGTGGTCCCTCGGTTAACGAACGGTTCGATTAACGAAATTTTGGTTAACGAATTACCTCCCATAAGGATCTTCAATCCGGTTAACTAACAAAACTTTGATTTATGAAATCATTACGACAAACACGTTTTGTTGTGAGCATCAGCTGATGGGCTAGTCTGCCAATTCGGTATTCTGTTCTATGTTTACATTCATTTTCAGTTGAATAAATATCAAGAAAATTATGCTCTTTAATATTTGTGCATTTTCTATATTAAAATTATTGATCATTCTAAAATTTAGCCATCCAAGCTCTGTTTTTCAACTATTATATTTGGCTTGACATATGTAACTTTATTCATTTATTGAAACTCATTTACATGCACAAACTGTCCTAAGGGCAAAGCTGAACTGTACATGTAATCAAAATAATGTACAAAATGATTACTAAAATTTTTGTCTAGTGCAAACTATTGCATGTTTACATTCAAATTAATCACATCTTATAAGAATTCCAGCAATGTAAATTATATTCTCCCAGGTCACTTCTATGACATTTTATAAGCAAAAAAACAAACTCAATCTAAAGGACATAAATAAACAAATAAATAATTCACTAGACCTTCAGCGCTAACTGTCAAACATGTCACTGTTGCCCCCCCTCCCAGCAAGGGTTTGGTGGTTATACAGTAGGCTTTAAGTTTTTATCTTATATAATATCACAGACTAAAGTTAGGAGAATTAAAATTTCCATTGCTGGAATCCTTGCAAGACAGTGAATAATTTGAATATAAACGTCATATATTTTGCACCAGAAAATTTGTTTAGTACATTTTAGTTATGTAAAGTTTTTCAACTGTATTTTTGGGTAGATTTACATAAATTTCTTCATTTATTTTCATTCATTTACATGCACACACCATACTAAAAGAAACGTAAAAGAAATAAATGACCCTAAGTGCAAACCTGTAATGTACAAGTACTAAATGATTACAGTACTAAAATTGTTATGTCTAGTGCAAATTACAGCTTGTTTATATTCAAATTAATCACTATCTTACAAGGATCCCAGCAATGCAAATTATATTCTCCCAGGTCATTTCACTGGCATTTTAAAATGAGAGAAGCTTAGTCACTTAAGGACTGTTAAATAAACACACGAGACCTTCGACTCAAACTGTCAAACATATCACCTCACCTCCTGCTCGCTCGCTCCCTCCCTCTCCCCCAGCCAGGGTCTTAGGCTTACAGTTTTTATGTTATATAATATCTCAGACTAAAGTTAGAAGAATACAATTTGCGTTGCTGGAATCCTTGCAAGACAGCGAATAATTTGAATATAAACATGATATATTTTGCACAAGAGATGAAAATTAATCACCTGTATCACATTACAGTAGTGATTTAAGAGTAAGAGTGTACTGTATATGTACGTACAGTGATCCCTCGGTTAACGAAATTTCGGTTAATGAGTTACCTTCCATGAGATTCTTCACTTCGGTTAATGAGCAATCCCTCGATTAATGAATTCCTTACGAGCGCCCCTCAACATGTTTTCGCCTGCTAACTAGCTGTCGTATTAGTCCGCCAATACAGTAATCGGTTCTGGGACTTAAATTCCTTACCATTGTAGTAAATATCAAGAAGGTTGTACTATTCAATCATTTTAAAAGTTTTATATTAAATTTTTTAGTCATTTTAACAATTATTGAACATAATTGAAGTATAGGAAACTAGTTTTATGCGCGTCAAACAGCCACTCAACACACCAAGCTTGGAGTCAGTTTGTTTACAGGTTAAGAGGAAGGAACATCTTGTTTGAGACTCTTCAACATAATGCTTTTTTTCTGTTTCCAGTCAAATTATTGGTCATTTTGAAATATATTTTACATATTGATAATATGTAGCGCAGTGCAGTGTTGATTAAAGAAAATAATCTTGAATTACACCAAGTGAACTAAAATTTTATGGGTGAGATGGCGGCATGGGGTGATTTCTCTTCCACCCCAATGCCTTCTCTTCTCCCTTCTCCTCCACCCCCATTCTAATTCCCATCATCATCATCAACCAGGAGCCTTCTACATGCATACCTCAAAGTAAGTGTACTTTACTGCATTTATTTTTAGTTTGTATGTAATTTTCGGTGAGCTGGAACCAATTACCGAAAAACCCATTGAAACAATGGTTTCGGTTAACGAGCAACCTTCTGGAACGAATTGTGCTCGTTAACCGAGGGACCACTGTGTATATATATATATATATAAAGTGATTTAAAGGCGATTTAGCGGAATTTTAGGAGTGTTTCTGACTTTATGCATTTTTGGCTTTACTTTGTATGTACTTTTCTGTGAGCTGGAACCAATTACCCAATATCCCATTGAAATAATGGATTCAGTTAACAAACGACTCTGTGGAACGAATTGTGTTCGTTAAATGAGGGACCACTGTAATGGTTAGTGAGTTATGAGTATGAAGTGAGGCAGAGAGTAACTGGCAACTGCTGAGCCTTGATTGTTGTTGTGATGCAAGAGGTGGTTCTGGTGGTAAATGACATGGTTGGGGCGAGACAGGGAGGGTTTTATGTAAATAGTGAGCCAGGTTGTCGCATCATGGGTGTGAGTGAGGGGCCACATAGGACAGGAGGAGGAGGGAAGAAGAGGAGGGTGATGAGGTTTAAGTAATTCCAGATCATACCAAGATGATGATAGGAAGTTGATCTGAGTCTACACCAGCCTTGTGTCTAACTCTAGAGCAGGAGTTTACAACCCTCCCTTTTCTGGCTGCATGCAGTCGGGAATATTATATGTGCAGCCAGCTGAACAATGTCCAAATTTTCAGCTATGAGGCCGGTAAGTTGTCACAATACATGTATTTTGGGTGAAAAATAAAAACCATGACTAAATGGATGAAGGAAATACTCAAGAAAAGGGCTTTCATCATTCTTTCCATGTTTGGATCAACGTACTGCTGTAAGGAGACATTCAGTGTGCCTACCTTTGTGAAAACAAGTACCGTTCAAAGCTCACCAACACTCACACCACAGAACTTGTGAAGGCTGCTCTTACTAAATTTGAACCAAATTTTTTTGAAATTGAAAATCCTATCCAGGAACAAGTCTCACATTAGATTTAATATTGTTCTTTGTATTTGGAATGTCATGCTTTATTTTGTAATGCAAAAAGTCAACTTGATGCTACCTTAATAAACCAGCTAAAAGAAGGGGTTTATTTCTTCTAAATTATCATATAAGGCTTTTTTGTTCTGTGCTGTACAGTATATCATAATATTTTATTCAGTATTTTTCCCTGCATTTCCATAGTATTTCTTATGTGAAATGTTTATTTTGTATTGCTAAAAGACAATTTTATATTACCTTATTAAGTACTGATGAAAGAGTTTTGACCCCCCTCCCCTTTTACAGAACAGCAAATTAGACTAATGTCATGAGCTCCATTTTTTATATGCTGTACTGTACCTATACAGTAATAACTTAATACTACTTAAGTTAAATTTAGCCTGCATTTCAGTATTGTTTATCAGATTTCTTCTTAAATTAATATATAGTCTGCATTTCTGATTGCTCATTGAATCCTGTGGAATGCATTGTAGACTTATGTTGCCCGAGTACAACTGTGGTCGATCGCTGATTACTTGCCAGTTAAGTGGCCGACTAGCATATAAAGGTTGTGGACTTGTGCTCTAAAGTGTCTACCAATCATCGACTTTACATTCTTCGGATGATTTTTGGTGCACAACTTTAAATTCATGGCACCAAATGCCAATTGTCTTAAGACAATGATAGTGCAATTTTGGTAAATCATTCAAAGACGCTGATAGCAGTTAAAGGAATAACCAGGGGGGTCCGTCAATGGGCCGCTTGTCATCAGCATACCAGGATCAGTGACCTATATCAGGTGTAGGTCATTTATCTCCACATTAAGCCATCAACATGCCTCTAATCAGTTGGTGTCAAGTTGTTAACATTTCAAAGGAGTCACTAAGCTGAGAGGTTTTAGACATGGTGACAGCAGTTATGACCTCACATGGACAGTGTTACCACCATTAACACCAGATTATAGAGAGGGAGTGGTAGTTAGGATAGGTGATCAAGGGGCCACCTCCACCTCTCTATACACCTTGCAGGAGTGAGGTGAGGTGACAGAAGTTATGGCATCACATGACAAGGGTTGCTGTCACAGACACCATTTAGGCAAGTAATCTGTGAGTTCATACACACAGTAAATTTGAATGTCTTATGATAATTGTTTAACTTTTCCCATAAAAAAATCTGGGCCAGTAAACTGCCTCCGAAAATTTATTTGGGCAAGAAAAAAATCTGACAATTAAATTTCAAAGTAAATTGCCTGGGGCAAGTAAATGTTCCACATAATCAGCATAGTCTGAATCGCTCATATCCACAAATTTTATATTTCTTATATTGTTCTTAACAAAATACTTAAATTTCTAATATAAAAAGAAGAAAACACACTTCAAAGATTCACAACAAACTTTACATAAAGATGCCCATTCTGCTGTCAATACAAAATACATATTTCTGTACTCAATGCATATTGGTTACGTTTAAACCTTCTCCTTTTGAAAACATCTAATGCAGGTAATCTTAGTTACTTCAGGGAGTTGCAGCCCTGCCTTCCCAGCTAAGTGGGTATTTGGAAGTCCTACATATAATGCCCATTCTCACTATATACAAGTGTGTTGGTGACAGGAAGAGCACAGTCATAAAACTGACTTTAAATTTGGCTGATGTGTTATCTTATGGTAGACCCTGCTTCCATATGGCATCACAAAAATTTTGAACAATTGTGAACATGTCCCAGGTTGCTGATCTGACCTTTTGCCTCATTTACACACAATTGCAGGATCTCAATTGTTTCTCTTACTTTGACAACACAACATACTGTACATACGTATATTGTTTCTCACTATTGATCTCTTTTTTTTTAATGGTCCTTTTTTATTAGTAGTAGTAGTACAGGTTGTACCTCTCTAGTCCGGCAACCTCGGGACCTGACAGGTGCCGGACCATGGAAATTCACCCTTTTCCTGGATAGATAGTGGCTTATGCTTGGAAGCACTAGCACCACTTTCTCTGCTTCATGGTCTCTTTCAAGACATATTGAAGGGTTAAATATCGTACAGTAGCTTCTCAAATTTCGCGAGGTTTTAATTTGACGTTTTCTATTTGAACACACAAAAAAAAAAAACATTTAAAAATTCTGACAGCGGAAACTCGAATTTCGACGGGTTTGAACGGCCCACCAATGTTCAGACGACGTGCACAATCGTGTAAACAGCGTCATTTCTCTTATGTACAAAAGATTCATTATTGTTTATTACTGAAAGTCTTTTTGATTGAATTAATGTTTGTGTGTGCAAAATGAGCAATACAATTCATTAATAATACGTAGAATATTAAAACACGAGGAAATGAGACAGCATTGTTTGCGTTGATTACAAAACCAGTGACTGACTGGTTCTACATATAAAGCTGAAGAAAATAAGACCCTGGTTGTAGCTGTAGTAAAATTAATATGGTTGTTTTAAGTAATGTTATTTAATGTTAATAAATGGAACAATAGAAGTAGCTAACGATAATGGTAAAGAAAAAAGAGAGATCGCGTATGTAAGTGCGCACACGTGAAAACATATCGTCATTACTTTACATAGGAATATGAAAGCAACACTTATTTACTGTTCATATATATTTTAATTAATGTTTCTGAATTTGTTTTTATTGAATTAATGTTTGTGTGTGCAAAATTAACAATACAATTTATTAATAATACGTGGAATATTAAAACACACGAGGAGACGAGACGCCTGCCGGCATTGTTTTTGTTAAAGCTTACAAAACGAGTGGCTGATTGGTTCTACATACAACACTGAAGAAAATAAGACCCTGATTGTAGCTGTAGTAAAATTAATGTAAAAAAATTAATATGGTTGTTTGAAGTACCTGTGATGTTATTTAATGTTAATAAATGGAAAAATATAAGTAGCTAACCATTAATGGTAAAAAAAAAGTGAGACTGCACGTATGTAAGTGCGCACATGTGAAAACATATCGTCATTACTCTACATAAGAAAATGAAAGCAACACTTATTTACTGCTCATATATATTGAACGGTTAAATGTTGTACTCTGTATAGACAAGCAGAGAGAGAGAGAGGAGAGCAGCCGAACTGCCGGATGTAAATAAACCTTAATTTCCCGCGGCTTTGTTGTTGTTTTTTACGAGGATTAGCCCACCCGGGCATAGGTCACTGACCCACATTGGGGCCTGAGGGGCAAAAAATTAATACTCCTGTAATAATAATAATTCAGATAAAAAAAACAGAAGCTGCCTATCTACCTATTGGACAAACTAAAATCGTTCCGGACCACAGAATGCCGGACTAGAGAGGTACAACCTGTAGTAGTAGTATTATTTATTTATTTTATTTTTATTATTATTATTATTATCATTATTATATTTTTGCTTTACTTTTGCCCCCTGGGCCCTGATGTGGGCCACTGACCTGTGCCCGGGTGGGCAAATCCCAAATCCTGTAGGTATATATATATATATATATATAAACACCAGTGTATGAGGTAGTTACAGGCAACCCATGAAAGCATTGAAAATTTGCCATAAAATGGCAATGATGATGATGTTCAGCCAAATATTTTGATAGATATATACAGCAGCTCTAAATTACAAGTCAAAGTTTCAATAATGATGACCTGTCAGAAGCTCAAGGAAGGCAGATAACATTTCCTAATATACAGTAAGGCATAACCTGAATTACGTACCCTTCACAAGTACAGGGTGTCTATAAAGTCCCATTCTGATTTCAAACATATATTATGTACACACAGCATAAAATATTGAAATGCATTTCTTTTGGCACTTGAGAGAGTAACTATTCAAGTTTTGTTTTTCACCTAAGCAAATTCAAAAAACTGCATTTCAATATCTTATGTCGTTTACGCATAATATATGTTTGAAATCAGAACGGGACTTTACGGACACTCTGTATTACAACCTATTAAACTGTATGCATACTGTACTATCATTTCAGTAGTATTTATTCAAAGACTCATTAAAAGGGTTAGGGCCCCTAACTTATTCTCTTTTTAATTTGTAAGATGTAGGTAAATCAAAGTAAAAATTACCTTACATAATCAAATATCTTGTCACTTTTCTTAATACTCACATCTGATCCATCTTTGAACTGTGCTGCTCCTCTCCCTCCTGCTATGCTGAAGCCCAAGCCATTGTGATCCCTCATGAGAGTAGTGTAGATGGTTTCCGTCAGGATCTGCGTCGGGAAGTTCTCTTTGTCATAGTGCTGATGGAAGGGTTAAACAATCATGCACTACTGTATCTACTACATAAATAGGTAAACAAATATTACAAGGAAAATAAGTATAACCAAAGGTCCACAAAACACAGTGATTCATGCTAACATAAACAAATAATTAAACAACTGTCACAATTTTAGATCTGCTGTGACTCAAAAAAGTATGACGATAAGTATATTGTACGTAATAAATATGCATAATGACATAAAAATACAAAATAAAATTATTTAACATAACAATACAGAAAACAACCAACCTCCATTTCGCCATTAGGTTCAGCATCACCATTTATCCGAGGATGCTCTCCATTAACAGCTGGTGAATCACTATGACCATTGATCACCATGTCCACATGATTGGCTGTTACATCTGTCAGTGCAGTCTGTTGAAGACCACTCTGTTGTGAAACTGGACTAGGAGCTGAAGTGCTTATTACTCCTTGTGTCACCACATGATTAGCGACAGGCTCTACTTGATTATTTTTCTGTAAATAAATAAATAAATAAATAAATAATAACATTCAATAAACCATAGTTAACCTATCAAAGGTACCAAACAGCAACTCCATTACATCACTCTATCAAGTTTCTGGTTCTCACATACTGATTCTGTTATCAAGATATATAATAAAGAAAAAATGGGTCATGAAGCAGATGGATGGTGCCTGGTGAAAACACACCAACCCCTCCATATTGGCAGGCTCTATGGCCTTCTAAAGCATTTCACACAACAATGTCTTTCTTTCTCGCTTCATAACTTGAACCTTACTTACTATAAAACAAATTTCTTTAACCAAAAATACTTTTATATTAACCTACAACCTCAAAATTTAATATAAAAATAACGAGGCAATTGAATTTGTAAGATTTTTAATTACAACGAGTGATTTTCTATTCCTAATTTAGAAAAACAAAACAAAAAAACACATCTGAAGGTCTTGAAGAAGTACAAAGTGTGAATATGTAAATGCTAATTATTAACTGCTAAAGGACTATGCCACAGTTTTCTTAAGAATTAACTCAAGATCATATAACTTCTCTTCCTAATTATGGAATAACATATAACTGTAGCTCATATATGAAGGCCTGATCCTGAAATCCTGATTATTGGTGGTGCCCACATAGTGGTGACTTAGGATTTTCTTTCCATCCCCATACATTTCATAATGCAAGTCTGGGTGATTTATTGAACCATTAGAGTATACTGTACTAATCCCCCCCCCCCTCTCTCACGAACAATGTTTGTCTCGAAGGAAGGGGAACTGCTAACAGTCAACCTCAAGAGAATAAAAGGTCTTCTGTGAGACAAGCAAACTATATATGCTAACTTTAGAATCCACAATCAATCTATTAATTACACTTGAATTCTAGTTAACTAACCTACTAACCCAAGGAAAGTTATATAAGCCCCCTGGCTATGGACTCTTCCATAAAACAGGGTTTCAAAAACACACCACCTTTTGTAGCAGTCCAAAAACCCAAGATAATGTATTGTATGTGCCTCTTAACATCCCTTTTAAAAAATGAAAAACACAGACACTGACCGTTTCTGGAACAATTCTAGTTACTTCTCGTGAAACTACAAGTCTCAGCTGAGATCCTGCCTCTCGCATTATATTAACTGCTTCATAGTGGTCACAAATTTCTACATCATGCCCATTTACCATGAGCAATTTATCTCCAACCTGTAATGATTAAAACAAAATCTTATAACAAGAAATCATAAGAATCATGAAACTGTGAATTTATGATCTATAAATTTGGAACTTTATACTGCATGTCATTACTGTATACTATACATAAATTACTTTCTTGCTTAAAAAATAAGTACAGTATAGTCTCGATTTACGCGGATTTGGTTTACGCGTTTGGTCATTTATGCGGCACCTTGCCAGACCAACAATTTTTATTTACACGGTTCATTCCATCATTTACGTGGGAAGCGGCGCGGGCAGGGTGCGCACAAGGTCCCCCAGTCAACAAAACATTACCGAGTTCTTCACCCGCCACCCACCACAGCCGGCCCAAGTCAGTGATAGTGAGGTTATGTACTTTGAGGGGTTTGACAAAGAGGCCCTGCAAGCCTCTGTGGTGGATAGTGATACAATTGATACAAGTGATACAGGTGAGGGCCAATAATCTGCCCTCTGCCTCAGAACCAACCCCCCATCCCTGTGTGCCCAGCCATCTTTTCTACTAACATAAGTGTTAAAAAACCTAATATTATTGGTATTTCTCTTAAATATTAATTGTGTGCATACCATCATAAAATTAAGATGTTATTTTTACTACAATGTACGTATTGTGTCGGAAAAAGTGTAGTTTGAGGGTCGGCCCAGTCTCTATTTCAATTAATCCCATATGTTCTGTTATTTCGTTTACGCGTTTCTCGTTTTACGCGGACCTCCACGGGTTCAATTGACCGGGTAAATGAAGACTATACTGTATCTGAAAATTAATGCTTCTCATGACAAATAAATTTGCACAATAAATTGGTATGAACAATTGTGTCACCCCTGATAATAACTGCTTGCTTTCCATATTGAATATGTAAGGGAAGGGAAAGATGAAATCTGATTCAACATACTCTTAATCCAGCAAGATAGGCTGGTCCGGCATCAGTAACCCGTGAGATGAAAATCCCCTCATCATCCCCCTTGTATGGCGTTGATCCCCGGCCTCCAGCTATAGACAGACCAAGGCCACCAGTTGTCCGTTCAACGTTCACTTCCATCTTCTTCTCCTCAACAACTACTGAGGGGCCCGAGTCTGAGACTGAAATAAATTGCAACAGAAAATACAACTATGAATAATCAAAGAAATTACTGTAGAAAAAATTAACAGCTTGATAAAAGTATTACTAACATAGTTTCTAATACCTTTACAAAGTTATCCATAAATACAGAGTATAGGCTTAGAAAGGAAATGAAGACTTGTGCCTTTAGAAGAATGAAAATAAAATCATGTGTTCAAAGTTCATTTGTAACCAATTTAACTTCTATTTGAATGTAAGGAGTTATGCACTGTATAAGAATCCAACTTTAAAGTTTTATTCCTATACAAGTATTACAATTGCACCATATCATTGATAAAACTATCTTCAAATAAAACAGTTGCTTATTGCAGCATAACTGTCTGTATGCATATGTATGTATGAATGACAAAATAAGTTTGTATTAAAAAAAATGAAAACCTAAACTTTGAGAACTGGATGAAGGTTATAATTCTGGGTTACAGTTCATGACAATTAATAATGCAAGATCAGTTGGAATGACGACAACTTTGCCCCAACCCTTTGAAATTTCATGCAACGTTACTCTTTCAGCATGTGGTATAACCAATTAGTCTAATACAGGGGGTTCTCAACCAGGGGGGAATTCCCCCCAGGGGGGGAATTCAGGTTTTCAGGGGGGGGGGGAAACTGATTCGGGAGCAAGAGATATGTTCGATGAGAAATTAATCACAGAATTTTGGCCCTTGATGTGCGATTCCTACCCAAAAGTGGCAGAAAGAGTTATCCGTGCATTGCTTCCGTTTGTGTCGACATATCTTTGTGAGTCAGGCTTTTCAACTCTGTTGCAAATTAAAACGAAGCAACGTAGTAGATTAGAGGTAGAAAATGACCTGCGTTGTGCCCTTTCAAGCACTCCTCCGCGTATCCCAGAATTGGCGAAGAAAAAACAATCACAGGTTTCTCATTGACTGTAATCTTCATCTGAATAAAATTAATTACAAATTTACAATATCCTGGTATTCTATTGAACTTTTTGTTTATTGCATTATGCTTCAGTTTGGTCTGTTAAGTAATTCATTATAAATATAAAAAAACTATTTTACTTTTATTCAAGTTTTATAAATCCATCAACATTTTCAATTGGCATTTAATTTGTAAAACTCCACTATAAAAATAATCCATGTAAAATTGTAAATGTATATGTACTAATATGGAAAAAATAAAGGATTTTCAGTATTATATGCATATTATTTAGAATGCACTTTTTGAGGCAGACAATCTTGGAAAGGAGGGGGGAATGACATTCTGACATATGGTGAAAGGGGTGCATGGGGCAAACAAGGTTGAGAACCACTGGTCTAATACATGGAGATTAAAATATTACAAAGATATTACATTCTCCTACTATCAATAGTTAGTGAAGAAATCAATGCAAAAAGTACCAAAAGACAGTAAATATATCCCTCCACTTTTCCAACCTGAGAACATAAAATCCCTTGTATCTTACAAATAGGTAATACAGTATAGTGCAAGTAGTTGGAGTGTAACTTTAACACAAAAGCCATAAATATCTACCTTTTCCTTCAATCCTTCATCTTTCATAACATGTGATCATGCAGGTTAAAATGTCTAACAAACATGTGTGGAAGAACACAAGAATAAAATCATTAAATTAACACTTTTTTGAGCTTCTATTATTCTAAGAACAAATCTCTATGTTTGTTAGAATCTTTTTACTCACCGATGGAACGAATTTCAGCGTCAGATTCTGAAGCAGCTTGATCATGATTGCTGTTTCCTTCACTACCATCTCCACGCTGCAATGCCTGCTGCCGAGATAAATACTCAAGTTAGTTCAGTTAAGTAATCTTTTTTGAATTGATAAAAGGTTTAAAAAAAATAATTCTATGTCCAAAGCCTTCGTACATGAAGCTTTGTTCCTGGAGATTTCAGTCCCAATAACTCCTCGACTAGAGACTTCAGATACAATTTTTCAGGTCCAAAAACTCTTGGCCTAGTGACTTAGGGAGTGGAAGCTTTTGACATTCATTCTTTGACCCCAGAGAATTCAGTTCCAAGAAATTTTAAGTCTGAAGAATGCAGACTTCTATAGTTAAGACCTGACACTCTGAGGCTAGAGACAGTAGGCTTGGAAACTTTGAAGCTAGGATTTAGGGGAGACTCCAAGCTAAAAGACTTTTAGTCCCCAAGATTTTGGGTAATATATCAGATCTGGAGACTTATGGTTACAAATATATTTTCTATGTTATAAACTATGAATCTAAACAAACTTCCAGACACAGACCAATCAGAAGATGGTTCTATATATCTCCATCATATTAGTCAGATTTTGCAGATAAGAGCTATCAGTTTACATGTACACTGTACAGTATCAAAAAACATTAGAGTTTGCAAAAAATATCTATCATCTTATATAAATTAAGCAATATTACATTTTGCAAATACACATAAATTTACAGTTGTCAATAAATACTAAATTTTTCACAGACTAACACCCACTACAATGATCATGTGTACCAGCTTTCACACGAATAAAATCCATGTTTCTGAGATATAAAATGGGGAAAGGAGGCAAACATCTACAACAGAAACCAACCACAAAGCAGTTCTATAAAATACAGGGGGCCTGCCAAGTTCGCTGATATTTACTTCGCGGTTCCGTGATATTCGCGGATGACACCCTGGATGTACCCAAGAATGTCTGTGGGTAGTTTTAAAGTTGCCGGCATTATTGCGGCTGGAACAGGGACCCATTTATTCTAGAGAAAGTAATTTCCTTTACCTGTATTGTAAATATGAGTGTGTGTGTGTGTGTGTGTGTAGACACACACACAAAACACATACAAATAAATAATAATTGGAAAATACTCTCACAATAAATCAGAAACACATTTATTAAAAATGTGACAGTCTACCCTCAAGCCTGTTCTCTATTACAGTACTTTATTAATAGAGCACAGATTTGAGGGTAGTCTGTCACATTTTTTATAAATTTGTTTCTGATTATTTGTGAGAGTATTTTCCAATTATTATTTATTTGTAAGTGTTGTGTGTGTGTGTGTGTGTGTATCTACACACACACATACAATTCCACAGGTAAAACAAATAATTGTCCTAAGGGCAAACACAAAGATAATATACATTTCTTTGTACACAAGTAAAAATGTATCCCCCCCATCCACATATGTTATTCGCAGATTTGGCATTTCGTGGCCATTTTGAGAACCTAACCCCCGCGAATTTGGGGGGCCCCCTGTATTAGTGAAAATTGGACCAAAGATTAGAGGATGAAACAGGATATGAACATAAGTATTTGACTGATAATTTACTCGCAAACAAGAGAATGCATATGTAGAATGAGAAATGATGACAGGATCAATCACTGCCTGGCATTGGCAAAATTTAAAATGAGAATGATATGGGCTTACAAGTGATGCTAGAAGAGTGGGAAAAGCTGGGGGATGCAGAGATTAATCAATAGTACATCCAGACACAAAAAGTTAGCTGGAACATTTAAAGAAGATGAATACGACTGTATAACAACAATACAAACAAGCTGTGGGAGGATAGCAGGAATGATGTAAATTAATGGATTCTGTAGGTAAAAGAAACCTAAAGAAAAAAAAGTGGTACTTTGTGGAATGAAGAACTAAAAGAGGCACGACCAAAATGAATAGTACAGAGAAAAACCTTGCAGAAACTGTACCAGAGAGGAATTAACAGTGAAGTAGATGGTGTACAACATGAAAGAAGGAAAGACTAAGGAATTGGGAATTTAAGAAATGAAAACTGTATCATCACACTATAAAATAAAAGGATAGGGGGAATACTGTAAAGAGAAATATTAAAGGATACAGATGATTTATTAGGCAAATAGAAGTATTTTGATGGGTAATGTAACCTAATGACAGAAAAGAAGCAATGATCTTATGTCGGACATAGAAAAAAGAGAAGGGGAAACTGAAGTCCAAAAGGAAATTTATGGAAGATAAAAAAGTGACAGTAAGACTCTAAAATTATGGAAAGTTCTGGGAAGAGATGGTAATAAGGCAGAAATGTAAACATGGAAAGAAAATAATATGCATTCTTCTAAGACTATGTTCGATGGCATGGAAAACAGGAAAAGTACCAGATGAGTGCTTGAAGGCTATTATAATACCCTTACATAAATAGAAATGTAGCAAGGAGGAGTTATAAAAACTATAGAGGAATCAGTTTGTTGAAAATCTGTGGAAGTTTATGGTGGGGTTGTAGTTAACAGAATGAGGAAAATAACAGTGCTGAATAGAGGGGGAAAAAAAGAGGTTTTAGGGAAAATAGAGGATATATGGACAATGTTCTTACAGTAAAAATTATTGCAGAAAGCAGTACATAGTATTTTTGGTTCTGGAGGGTTGTTCTGAAGCATTGTAGGTGAAGAGGATCTGTGGGATGGGAGGAGAGCTACTTCAACAGTGAAAGCATTGCAAGTTAAATTGGAGGACTAAGTGAGAGTTTTGAAGTGAGAACAGGAGTGAGGCAGGGATGTGTGACACCCCCAATGTTGTTAAACATACACAGTATACTGATGGAGTGGTGAGGGAAATAAGGAAAAGGTGACTGGAGAAAGAGTAATGCCAAAGCTAGAGGAAAGCATGTGGTTACTTGTAACTTGTCTCTATAGAGATAGAGAACAAATATTTTTTTTTTTTTTTAAGAAATGAACAGAAAATACAAAAGTGGTGAATGATTTTGAGAGAGAGAGAGAGAGAGAGAGAGAGAGAGAGAGAGAGAGAGAGAGAGAGAGAGAGAGAGAGAGAGATTGTAAAAGATATTAAAGATATATCCAAGGATGCAAAAGTTAACCACTTGTGTACAAGATCCCCTCCTTGTTGAAAATAAAATCGAATGGTGTTAGCAAAATAAAATATTATAGGTGGCATCCCCATAGTGAAGGGGTTAATGGAATATGAAAGGAAGGTGTTTGGCATTGTGAACTTTAGTAAACAATATAGAATAGCAAATCCTGGTGAATCACAATGCAAAATTGTGAAAATTAAATGGTGAAGGAGGTTAATTAATAGAAGTACTGTACTATATTTCATTTCAGAGTGATGCAAAGTAAAATGAGTACCATGAAGAGTGAAAATAGGAAGAAAACAATAAAAAGAAAAAGACACCAAAATCAATATGAACACCTATGTATTATCTAAAATTCCTGTGAGGCACCTGACATCATTATGAGTGCCAAATATATGGCAAACATATGTTGTGAGGCAACAGGTGTTATCATACAATTTGAGTGGCACATAGTGTTTTTCTTAAGACCTATGGGGCTCCTGGTGCCACAAGAAGGATTTGTCATACAGTATACAGGTATTGTATCTGAACTCATTAGGGGGACTGATTATACAATTGAAGTCACTGTGATGGTGGATGAAAGACAACAAGGGACTTTTATATCCTTGACAACATCAAATGTAGACATTTGTCACAGCTATAAATGAAGCGTGTACGATCAGAGTGGACAAAGCGCCACTTTGGTCAAAATCAGCATTTACTCACAAAAGGATAGGGAAACCACCTCTGAAAGTGTCAATATGGTTAACTTTACCATTAAATAAAACTATCCACGCATGAATACAAGCGGGGCTGGTGGACGGCAGTTCACAGAGGGGAAAGCGCCAGAAGACTCTATTTTCTTTTTTCCTAGCTCAATGTCCACTCTGGTTATACACACCTCAAATACCAGTAACAGACTTGATATCATCGCAACCTATACTGACATTATGAATATTTCTTAAAAGGATGTAAGGGGCAGAGGGAGGCCTTGATAACTTGAACAGCAAGACAAATGCTTAAAGACTACTCAAAAATATGGTAAATCCCAAATCTATGGTCTATCACATTCTTGTACAGTATGCAAAGGACCATAACTGCCAAAAATGCTTAAAACACAATTCTTTAACCATTTCCATTACTGCACTTGATGATGATCAAGTCTACCTATTTTGATGGGGCTAGGCTTAATACTTTAAGTGAAGTTGAAAATGCAAGAAAAACTTTAGTGGATGTATGGACAGCGCCAATACATAATATTTGGAGTTGGAGACGGGTAGATAAAGAGGAATACACATGTTAGATATGTATGATTGTTCATGGATTATGATGCTCTGAACATTTTCTGCAATAAAGCAGGAAAAGGTAATTAATAAAAGGGGAAAAAGGCTCAGAGAAGCAGTGACTAAAATGGCAGGTCTGTGTTAAAAATAAATAAATAAATAAATAAATAAATAAATTAATTAATTAATAAATAAATGTGCTTGCTAGGAGCTTGAAGTGATTTTATGATTTGAGGTACATGCATAAGTAAAATACAACAGTTGCTGAATGTTGCATTATTAAATCCACCAAAAATGCAAACTGACAACTTACTCTGCGCAATTCACTTCGCAGTGGCTGAATACAAATGATGAATCCATTACAGACATTTTGGAAAGGGAAAATACCATTAATGGAAACTATATATACATATACTGTGGTTTGGCTGTGAAATATCTAAGTACAGGTATGGGACCATTTATCCAGCATGTTTGAGTCCTGGGGACTGCCGGGGAGGGTTTTTTCTGGAATTTGGAGTGTGAGGCCTAAGATGTACAGTAAACCTTTTGTAACTGGCTGTGAAGCCTCTGTTCAGATCACAAGATTCACCCCTAAAAGTAGTTTTAATTGCACACTGAAACATTAAAACTTAAAATTGTAGACACATACAGCAATATCAAAGGCATATAAATAGTACAGTAATAATGAAAGCATTAAAAGAGCATATATGATACAAGTTAGTGTATAAACTGTATTGCAGTCACCCCTGATACTCGCCTTAGCAAGGCAACAGCATCCTTAGCAACAGTGATTTGCCTCAGACCCTCCAAATCTCCACACACTTACCACACAGCTTCACAGGATGTAAACCCGTAGATGCATAAAACTTTATACCTTATGATAATTATTTTTTTTTGCACTTTCTGTATATAAGATTATGTGTGCTTCTGCAGTCTGCATGTAAACAAGTAAAACAAAAATCAAGAAAATTGTGTGTATCTCCCCAAAATTATGAGATGAAAAATACTTTATACCTTATGATGATTATTTATTTTTTTCACTCTCTGTATGTGCTATTGAGTGTCTATGTAACTGAGTAAAGAAAATGACAAAAACTACATGTATCTGACCAAAATTACAAGTTTAAAAATAACCATAACCTAACATATAGCTCATAGGTGGGGAATGGTTGGAAACATCCCTGCTCAGCCTGGGAATTACTTATGGCGCTCATTTAAAAAAAAAATTCTTAAACATAGCCAGTTTTTGGAGGGTTCCAGATACTGGAATGCTGGATAAGCAATTCCATACCTGGAATTCTTCTTATCTAATTACAGTGTAAATGAAAAATTAAAGTCTTTCTTCTATAAAGGGGGGGAGGGGGGAGGGGGGGGAAGTGACATGTTTGACAGTTGGCACAAAGGTCTAGTAAAGTATTTATTTGTTTATTTATGTCCTTTAGATTGAGTTTATGTTTTTTGCTTATAAAATGTCACAGAAGTGACCGGGGAGAATATAATTAACATTGCTGGAATTCCTATAAGATATTGATTAATTTGAATATAAACATGCTATAGTTTGCACTAGACAAAAATTTTAGTAATCATTTAATACATTATTTTGAGTACATGTACAGTACAACTATGCCCTTAGGACAGTGTAGCATACCCAGAGAAATGTTAGGCGCAAAATTTTAAATATGACGTGCCAGATTGACTCGAGCAAAATAGGAAAGATTCGCTTTAAATTAAAACATTGTCCTTAATTGTGGGCGTCGCTTTAAATCAATAATCTTTAATTGAATCTCTTTAAATCGACGTTCTACTGTACTTGATGCACTAACAATTAGTCCACGATTTCTGGTTTTCTTCTAAGTCATGGTAAATGTACACCTCACTACACATATACTGTATATTATTTGTTAAGATGTTCAATACAGTGGTCCCTCGGTTAACGAACGCCTCGGTTAACGAATTACCTTCCATAAGAATCTTCACTTCGGTTTACGAAAAAATTTTGGTTAATGAATTCCTTGCGAATTTTTCCCAACATGTTTTCGTCTGCTTTCGGCTGCTCACTAGCTGTAGTATTAGTCCGCCAATACAGTAATCGGTTTTAGGGCTTAAATTCATTACCATTGTAGTAAATATCAAGAAGGTTGTACTATTCAATAATTTTCCAAGTCTTGTATTAAAATTTTTAGTCATTTTAACAATTATTTAACATAATTGAAGTACAGGGAACTAGTTTTTAGTGCGCCAAACAGCAGACACTTGACTCACCCAGAATGGCATCAGTTTATGTCCATGCTCAGTGGAGGAAGCATCTTGCTTGAGACACTCTTGAAGATAAAAATTTTTTGGTTTTTACAGTACAATTATTGGTCATTCTGAAGTTTATTTTACATATTGACAATATATAATGCAGTGCAGTGTTGATTTAAAGAAAATAATCTTGAATTACATCAAGTGAACTAAAATTTTATGGGTGAAATGGCGGCATGGAGTGACTTCTCTTCCACCCCAATGCCTTCTCTTTTCCCTTCTCCTCCACCCCCATTCTAATTCCCATCATCATCAACCAGGAGCCTTCTACATGCACACCTCAAAGTAAGTGTACATTACTGCATTTATTTTTAGTTTGTATGTAATTTTTGGTGAGCTGGAACCAATTACTCAAAATCCCATTGAAACAATGGTTTCGGTTAACGAACGACCTTCTGGAACAAATTGTGTTCGTTAACCGAGGGACCACTGTACTGTACTTTCTTACAGTCGGGAGCTCGTGTCATACCACTGTTCTCCACAAATTGGTAGCATGTTCTTTCTTATTGCAACCTTCTCAACATCTTTTCTGCACTACAATACCTATAATGTAAATGCTATTCCATAATTTTTTCTTAAGATATGTCCCATATTTAAAGTCTGCCGATTTAAAACATAATAATCATAAAATATCAGTTACTATTAACCTCTACATCTTCTTGTATCAATATTCTCCGCAAAACCTACAGCATGAGATGTGTGGTGGAAACTGGATACTTAATGTGAATGGAGTTCCTATAACTATTTCACATGAACGTCTTCCTATCTAGAATTACCAATCTTTGAGTCATGACATATCCAGCTTTATTTCCCTCATAACTTCTACATTATAACTAATATATTTTCAAATACATTATTTAATACATTATCTCTACATTAAGCTTCTTGTCAATAATTCAACCAAATCTGTGTTCTGGGGTTCTTCCCCACTACCAACGTCACCTGATTTCTTCTCATTATCTGCTCACCCTGTCTCCACCTCCTCCCCCTCACCTCGTATCTTAAAAATGTATTGATATTTATTAAATTATTTCTTCATACTTTATTCATTTATTAATTATGCTCATTCAATTGACCAAGTATTTATGTTTTGGAGTTTTTATTACCATATTTTGATGAATATAGCCATTCCTAATTCTAATTCTAACCCAGAGTGGGTTTTGAACAGAATTCATGAAAAAAGCTTGGCCTTTGAGTCGAAGGTCAAAATCATATTCACATTCAAAATAGTTCATAACATTTGAGACACTGTATATATGCATATATGATATTAAGTACTTGTGTACACATGTACAGTCCCCTTCACTGGTGTGTTTACAGGGACTCGTTAGGTTTTGTGTAGTGTTGTGTTTATTTACATTCGACATAAGGAAACACGCAATAGCAAACATACTGTACTATGGAATTAAATCAAAACAATATTAAAACAAATATCTAAAAGATAATGATTTGTGGAATGTTTATATGATGAGCCCCTGTAAAGGCACTAATGAAAGGGACTGTACATATTAGAATAACTGATTGGGGTAACAAAGTTGCAGTGAAAAGTGCCTAACAAAATGAGTAGATATGGCAATGGCACCAGTGAACAATGATGTCACAGAAGAGAAATATGTTACCACTTTGTTGGTGAATGCTCAGTCTGCCTGGGGATATGCTGTGAATTGTTTTGGAAAGCTGGTAGAGATAAAGCATCATAAAAATTGTGAAGTGTCGGGAGCAATATTTATCACGTCTAACACAAGCATCGACTGAAGTGAGTGGCCTAATGGCATCTGTACATCATGTGACTGACTCATGGACTTTCTCCAACACTGATGTAGGGGAGTTACCATTTGTGATACTGTATATTGTTAGATGCAAAAAATCTGATACCATAATTGACAAATACAGTATATATACTGTGCACTGACTCAAGAGTGTGATTTATAACTTGCTATGATAACTGAATATCATTAAATTACCAGAGAGAAAAGGTATTTACAGGTACACCACCAATTTTCCGGCAATGGATGGTTAAGCACCTCTCTTAATCAGGACAAAATTCCCACGACCTCCAGATTAGTTTACCGAGCTGCCCACAGATGGCGTTATGTGTTAACCGCACTCACTTTGTTTGCTTACTTGCCTGTTGCTGGTGGCAGCTCTTTGATTTTGTGTAATTCTCATCTTATTTTGCACATATTAAACCCCAACTATGGTTTCAAAGGCAAGTACAAGAGGTGGTGTAAAGTGTAAACACCAGTCCATAGCGATACAAGAAATGGTGGAACTCTTGAGAAAACTTGACTGGTGTTTCGGTGAAACAGGTGTGTGATCAGTATGGTATTGGTTCGTCAACTGTGTATGATTTAAAGAAGCAAAGAGAAAAAGTAATGAGATTCTATGCAGAAAGTGATTCCAAGAAGCAAATGTGCATTAGAAAAACATTGAAAGACGGTAAGAGTACTGCACATGATAGAGTGATGAGTTTCTAGCAGCCATGGTGCTTTAAAGATAACGGGAGGTTTATTGCTTAATTATTATAAATGACCTCTGTTAATCCGGCAAAACGCATGGTCCGGCAAAGCTCAGAAACCAAAGGTGCCAGAAAATCGGTGGTGTACCTGTATAACCGTTAACAAAATATGTACTGTTGTTGCCACATACACACACTTTCATGATTTTTTGTTTCATATACTGTACTGTAACCAAATTTGAAAAGCTTTCATAGTGGCTTCATTATGTATTATTTAACATATGTGGGTATGTGGAAAGTCAACAACCCTTTCCAATACCTCCATGTTCCAATTACATAAAATTAGATATAAGAATGATAAGAACTGCCTACAAATGTTCACTTCCTAGACCTCAATAACAGGAACATATATTCTGAAGTACATAGATTAAGACATTTACCCTCCTAGATCTACCATACAAATAATAATCTATTTTTTATTATGAAAATAGAATAAACAATTATGTTCAAGTGCAGAATTCAATGTTGCAGAGAGATGATAGTAATGGTAGTACTGATGAAAATTTTGACTTGGGGTGCAGTGGTAATGGTGGCGGGGACAGGTTAGAGGTAATGCTAGAACGCACAAGGAATTACGGTAATACAGGTATTTTTGAGGCTTTACTAAAATTTGTATCTGATAAGTTGCACCCCGACTTTTGTCAAATTTATTAGGAAAAATGTGTAGCTTATACTCGTCAAAATAAAGGTACTGTATTGTTTTGGGGAGGGTTTAGGTGATTATTTTGAGACCTTTGTTCTCTAGCCTACCTTTCCCCATTAGTCTCTTACTTTGGGAATTTATGATTTTTTCATATCTGTGGTACTGTTCAGGCCTTTACCCCTGAAATATCTGAGGCTCAATTATACCTTGGATTTTTTTGAAATTTGTCCTGCATATACTGAGTGACTTTACCTAACAAAATATTGTTTCTTTTATTTTTCTATCTTATTTGATTGGTGTTTGTCTATTTGTGGGTATAAAATCAGTAAGAATATGTAGAGTAATTCAGTCTGATGAATAAATATAAGTTACTCTCCATCAGTAGGCAGTAAGGTAAGCAAGGCCTGCAATTTGGTGTGGGTTACATTTCTTGTCTCCAAACAAGAGTGGATGTTGAGAAAGGGTTAAACTTGTGGAGATCCTCAGACATTAACAGTACACTATTATTATATGTTTCTCAACCAATAAACTCAGGTTGTATGATAATCTGATACAAAAAAAATATATAAATTTATTTACCAAATATTCTACTATTTACTTACAGTACACCTAATACTACTGTAATTTACCAAAAGTAATTAGAAGGCAAAAAAGTTAAATAAAACAATTAACAATTATTAATTATACTGTAGTGTCTATCAAGGAGTAAAAAAAAACCCAACCTGAGCGATGATGGAAGCAACTTTCTCCAAGTCTGCATTCTTTGTGGTAGGGCTGATACGTTTGTTTTTGAGGTGGTGAGGTGTGTCTCTTCGCTGTAGACGGCTCGGCCTCTCATGATCTTCTTGAATTTCTTCTATAACTTCTGCAGTTTCACTCAACAAGGAAAAGCCCACATGTTTCTCACTTTCAATCTGAAGGTTTGTAAAGACACAACAAACTGTATATTAGCTTAAATTACTATCTCCATTTCAAGTAGGATCTGTAGGATAATGTAACAAAAGGATAAAATATCAATCTGAATAACTAATGCACTGAAATAGAGTACTGCAGTTTGGCGATAAAGTGTAAAGCAGTATTGGAGAGGGATGACAGGTATCTACATATCTAATGACTAGTTCCTTCTGTCAACTCCCCATCCTGGAGAGTTTATTTTATTATTATTATTATTATTATATTTTTGTCCCCCCTGTCCCATAAGTTTCCATACAACGTATCACCAACGCCATTACAAGCATAACTCCAGCTGTGCTTGAACGTGTTCTTCAGCAGTGGAGGACACGCATTGAAGAGTGTTTTCAACAGAATGGTAGTCATGTAGAACATATTATATAAATAAAAATGGATTTTCATATAAAATTTATTTTTCCTATGAATGGAAATTTATGGGGCACGCACGCACACACGCAAGTAAATCACTGTAGGTGCGCACGGTTAGGTACCACGGGAAATGACCATTTAAAGATTAGCATGTACCACATCTTACCCTGTACAGACTGGTCTCACCCTCTGTATATATACACCAGGTTTCAGGTAAGTAATGACATTAAGTTGTGCATTGTACCCCTAAGCATATAATTATGGTATATTGCACTAAAGAAATATAAATCCCATAATTTAGTTATATATATATATATATATATATATATATATATATATATATATATATATATATATATATATATATATATATATATATATATATATATATATATATATATATATATATATATATATATATATAATATATATATATATATATATATATATATATATATATTATCTATACACCTTCTGTTGGAACATATCACATAGTATTTAAGAAGCTCAATATACAGTACTGTATTACATAAGTGAAAGCAATACCACTTAATTGAAATTAAAAAGTTTGTGTGTTCACATGCTTTAAGAAATAATGTTATTGCATTGTTCCTTAATACTTACATATTGTTCTATTTTTAATCTTAAAAATCAAGAAAATATATATAAAAAAATGTAGATATTACCAATTCTACAATTCTGTATAACATTAGTATTAAAATGATGTTAGCTGAGAAATACTTCAAATGTACAGAAAATGAAAAATTAGATATTTCGGTTATACTGTATAATTAGGGATAATAAGAGAAATATTAATGGGCAAAGTTGAGGGTAGGAGGGCCAGGGGAAAGCAGAGACTGGGATGGATGAATATTAAAAACTGGACCCCAGATAGATTAAAAAAAACCTTAAAGGATTGGTAAAAAGAGCCCGATAATGTTTAGAGTGGAAGACTGTGGTCGCCAATCCTTAGATATGAGGATGGTACAGTTCTTTGATTGATTACAAACATTGTCGATATAGATTTTTCTCACTGTTTATTTGCTTTTTAACATAATAAAGTAGTACTGTACATTCTATACAACTTAAATGTTTACTTCAATCTTGAATACATGTCCAGAAACTGAAGTTATAATTTCCCCATACAATCTTATTGATATTTTAGGTACATATTATCCAGTGTATTACAACATGAAAAGGTGTAGATTGAGTGGATTTTGATAATTTTTTACCTTAATGCAATGGGTTATAGATTGGCATATTGCAAAATGAAAATCCAAATCCTGCAAAAAATATATTCTATATTTCTTTTTCTTGCTTAAAACATTCAATAACTTGAATTAACTAAAAGGAAGGCAAAGAATAAATTTTCAAAATCTAGTATATAATGCAAATTTGTGTAAAAATTTTAATTACTTAAACTCTAACAAACACCATATTTCAGAAACTGCACCACTGTTGGATACCACAGGAAACGGCTCTGAAACATTCCACAGGTACACCCAAACCTAATTAGAAACACTATCAGCTTATTTTTTACACAAAAATTTATTAAAGGAAAAAAAAGGTAAAAATACTTTAAGCTCATTTCTATTACCAGACTGTTGTCATCACCACTTTCTTCTCCAACAGGTGTCTCCTGACATGCAGATGTTTCTGTCTCTATGCGCACCTCCTGTAGGAAGGAAGAGTAAGGGAAAGAGTTAACAAAAGAAGAATGTATCATAAGGTCTATTTGACCTACCAGGGAACTACACATAAGTATCATTTCAAGATAGATAACTCATTGTGAGCTTTGTATTTTGTTAAGCTTCGGTCACTTCTTAAAATGTGTTAGGGATTGAAAGCGCAAAAAATTTTTCTCCCCACATCTCTTTTCTCCTATTACCTGGGAAGCATATGCTCATGGATGGACAACTATTTTAGAAATAAGTTTAACATGCACACACACTCACTGCATCTAGTACCTTCTTTCCCTCCATTTCCTTGTGGTTCATCACTCACAGTTCCATTTATTGATATACCAGTCACTCCAAGATATCTGAAGTTCTACCATTCTAATACACACTCTGTAACACTCATTCATTAACAAGCAATTTTATATTTTCTCACAAAGGCACTCCCATAATTCTGTAGGTGGATGGAAACAAGAAAAAACATAGTTCTCTAATTTGTGACATTCCATAAACCCTTCAATGGTACACTTTTTTTTCATACAATTTTCATAAAGTATAGAAAGCCTCTTTTTAAACAAACCTGCTGATGTTTTGGCCTAAGTACCACTTCAGCAGCAATCTCCTTCACCTCCTGCTTTGTCTGCCCTGGTAGTGGTGATGATGGAGGGACTCGATGGGGACGAAAAACTTCACCTTTGTCCTGATAAAAATCCATGAATATTGTGATCTTATGGTTTAGAGTATTTTTGTAAAGAATGTTCCTTTAAGGAAGATGCTATTACTAAATGCAATGAAATAATTAAGCATAAATCAGAAAAGCAGTAGCCAACTTTTGAGCAAACCACTAAGAAAAGCTGTTTCACAAACTCCAAATGACATGTAAGGTCAAACCCACAAATACTGTAGTTTTTAAAGTAAGATCTATCAAGTTTTGTTTCATTTTGTTTCAGAAAGTTATTTCAGATCTTTCTTTTTACTCAGAACAACCTAATCCAATCTCCAGGAATATGTGTGGTACATAAAGACCTCTCAATAATAGGGCCACATTAACTGTACTTGTTTTTGACTCTTTGGAGCCACTGATCAAAATTTATGATTTTACAAGAATTCTGAAACCTTAAATGCACAGGACAACATTATGGTGATCCAATGATTTCATGACACAATTATTATGTGCAGTGGGGTTGTTGTTGTTCACTTCTGAGCTCTCATGTTTGAAGCCATCCTGGCCACCCGTTGTCCTTACATCATCTCTACTTAGCCACACTGTGTACTCTTCATTCTGTGGCCTTGTGATACAATTTGTGCTCCCATAAAGGTTTTTATGCCTGGAGCACAGGTTCAGAATACAGGAGGTCCCCGGGTTACATACGTCCGACTTACGAATATTCGCCGATACAAACGAGATCCCATAAAGTTAAACTTCAAATTTGCAGTATTTTATTTATCTGATGACTTACTTTTTAGTTCAATTTACTGTATTTTGTCATTCTATTTCTTCTTTTCTCATAAAGAGAGTGATTTTAGATGTATTGTATATAAGGACTTAAGCTATGATATTGTGGGATTTTAAACATAGTTCCGTAAGTACGGTATGTACATAGGGTATGTAGTTCGAATTAAGTACATTTTCGACTTAACCCCTGAGCCCCAGTTGACGTTAAGGAACACGAGCCTTTTCCTCCCACTGTTTAAATGTCCAGGGCGGGTTATCAGGTTCCAGCATGACTATTTGGTGGTCACGCCACATGCAAGGTAGCATGGGTGAGCTGGGCTCAGTGTGGTTTGTACGCATTAGCCTGTCACCACGGAGAGTAGTTTGTACATTTTATCATGTATCAAAGTAACATTGCTAAAAGTAGTGTAGTTGTATTGTAGCGTAGTATTACTGGAAAATAATGCTATGATTGTGATATACCGGGTAAATGTACCGTATTTATTTGTAGAATTATTATTATTTTATGCATTACTTGCCCTACCAAACACAAAAACAGCCAGACAGCCTGGCGACAGACTGCGTGTGTGTTGCTGAGCACTTTTTATGAAAAATAATGCAAATAAAATATTCTAAATTAATTATTTATAGGAAAAAAGTAAATCAGTAAATATATGCATTACTGGCCATCCCAGACACAAAGGCAAGCTAAAAATAGCTGCTAAGTCCGTAGGTGACCACGAGCGCTCACCGTAATAACAAGCTGTCCCCTTATCTCCCTCCCTCGGCGCTGCCAGGGAAATTTCTAGAGGGTCAATATGTAGTTCTTCTTACTTATTTTTTATTGTTTTATCATTTAATAAGGTTAAAAATTATTTTGGGAAAAGTTGATTTTTCCGCGTGGGGGGTACGGCCAGCAGCACCCAAGCCTGGGGCTTAAGGGTTAAGAACGTCCATAGAAACGGAACTTGTTTGACAAAATACAGATCGTTATGAAAGCTAAAATATTAAACTGGCAAATATATTTCTTTATATTCATATGATAAACCATAAGCAATCAAAAGTGTTCATAGTGAATTAAAAATACAGACCAAGACAATAAATCATATGCATCTCTACCCCCCTCCTTTTGGTATGTCACAAAAAGACAACTAGCTCAAAACACATGAAACTTTATATTCAAATAAAATATATTATCGAGCCTTAAAAAAAAAATAAAAAAAAACTTACCGTGAGCTCCCCAGCTGTTACTAGTGGTCCTTCACTTGATTTGCCACCTTTACCAAATAGTTTTTCTGCACGTAACTTCAAATCCCTTGGATGTGGAGTGTTGTGGCGCACGAAGTTGCTCTGGGGATAGGTCAAGTCTTCTTAGTACAACTCTCAACAAATCTTTTCTGAATTACACAGAAGTAAAAAATACTAAAGGTGACAAACAGAAGTTTATGATAACTGCTAGCAAACGATAATTTTAATTTTGACTATCATAGCTTCACAGGCACTGGAAGATCTAAAGAAGTTTTTGCTTGCCTAAGCATGAACAAAAATGTAGGAATGATCCTGAAATCCCGTTTTATGAATGAACCCACCACTATGCAACTCGAGTAATGTACTCACTAAGCCTGGCAGGCGATACACCAAGGAGAGACTAAACATTAGTGGCTGGGTATTATAAACTGATGATCTCATTCACCCTTGCCTCTGGAGACATCTTGAATAAAGACAAAATCTAAGGTGCTCCATTGTTTCCCTTTTCCTGTGTGGTTTTATTGAGTACCATCCTTGGAACTATCTCACAATAAGTTCTTCCCTCATGCCGGAGCAGTATCCTTTCATTGGGTGGTTTGGAAGCAGAAGCCACCAACAAAAGGAACAGGCTGCCAAGTCCTGGAGTTGCAAGAGCATGCAAGCACCCAACTGTCATCCTTCATGGGTCAAACTCCTTGGATTCAAGTTCTATCCTCACTTCCCAGCCTACTCTTCATCATAAAAGTGGGAAGGGAGGGTATCCAATTCACCTAGCTAAGGGCTTAGTCATGAAGTAAAATTTCAGCATTAACCCTACACTTATGACATAACACCCTCTGCTAAATGATTCAGAATAACTAAAAGGAGTGGAAGGTGGTGTTGCATATTTAAAGCCCAACTGCAAATGTAACAGAAACCCCACTAGTAGAGGTAGCCCAGCTAATCCACAAAGAAGGAAATAAAAGAAAACAAGCCCTGTAACTCTCCAAAGCCACAGCTCTGTAGTGTCATGCTGGATCATCATCATCAATGTCATTTTAGTCATAGTCTTTCAGCAAAGCCCTTCTTAATGTAAAGCGTTTGAATGCATAGTGCAAAACATTAACAATTCATAAACTTTAAAGACTTTGAGATAACCAGAGAGTTCCCCTCTCGTACCTAAAAAAAAAATCTAGTCTTGAGCAGGATCAAACTACAGGGGGTATTACCACAAAAAAATTGAGACCTCCAAGAGATAAGCTGACATAAAACCTATCCACTATATCAGTGGTACAATATTCAAAGTGTGGTAACAATACTGTACCACTAATGATACCAGAAGACCTTCAAAGAAGCACCAACAAAGCTGATACTTTTACCTTGGCCATATCTTAATTGTTACTAATGCCACAATCCCTCCTACATTCAGTTGCTTAAAAAGAAACAAATTTTAATTTTTTGATGACTGGTACTAATCTATTTTCCTACATTTGCATACACTTACACATATAACTCTACATAACATCGACCAGCCTGGGTCATGTTATGTGCTGTACATATCCTAGACCTGAGTGGAGGCTGGAGTGGTCAACGACGTTGCCAGGTTTACTTATTACACATATCCGGGCATATTAAAAAAGGAAACCCCAAAACAATATGAAATAAAGAACTACAGTAGCATCAAAAGCAAATACACAATATCTCCAAACAGGTGATATTAAGTGCAGAACTGTTTGTTTCCAAGAAGGGATAGGATGGTGAGCCCTTGCAAGCCAACAACTTAAAGAGAATCATCCTGATATACTGTTCCTTCTCTTGCCAGGGTAAACCCATGTGGGTTCAGGGCCTGAAACCTATAAAACAAAACTGCTTGAAAGGTAGAGAGAGGTACAGTTCACAAAATTAGGTTCCTCTTTATGTAAACCTTCATTTAGCACCACTATGAGAACACTGACTTAAGACATGAGATACATCATGGTAACAAGTAAACTGTGAATTTGTATAAATGAAGATAAAATTCCAGCTTCCCAGTAATTCACACCTTTAATAAAACACTAAGAAATGTGTGGCCCAGGCTATGAACACCCCAAAGTACTAAATAACAAGGCTGTGGCTCTTAGCTCCAAGAATCGGTAGACAACTGCTGGCAGACACATCTGCTCAAAGCAAGAAGTGAGCCACAATGTGAGGATTGAGCCTGATTCTAAGAAGGCTAATCCATAACAGGTACCAGGTGGCTGTGTATGTGTTCATAATGGAAAGGAAAAACAAATCTTGGGTTAGTGTAGACACTACCCAGCCACTAGCAGTTAGGGTCTCCCGAGTCTACAACCTGCTAGGTTTAGTGGGCACATTGAGTCACCTGGTATGGGGCATTAAATCATAAATCATGATTTTAATTTTAACTTCCTTCAATACTTAAATATAATGTGTATTAATTTACATTACAGCATTTCCAGACACTGTGATACTAATCCAGTTCAACGCCTCAGACACAATAATAATGTACAGTTTTATATTTATGATACAAGGACTTTTTAGTAACTTGAGAGGTACAATAAGGAAAAAAGTCTATGGCACAAATTCTGAAGTATGATCTGTTTGATTGTTTCTCAAAGTAGCACTAAGTGTTCTTGTAAAGTACAAGAAAATTTATTTTCATCACACTGTTAGCACACGCACACACAAGGTACAGTACAGGTATATGTAATATCTCCATTAGCCAGAATCACCCTTAACCAGAACTCTCCAATAGCCAGAATTGAAATTTTCTCAGAAAATCATCCCCAACCCCGGAATTTTCCAGAGAATTCCGGCTTTGGGAAAAATTTTCGGAGGGGCACATTTTCTGGAAAATTCCGAAAAATTTTCCCAGAACCCGGAAAATTCTGGAAAATTACAGGGATGAGGGAGGTTTTTTTTTCGGGGTAGAGAGATGAAAATCATGCACATTTTCTGGAAATTACAAGAAAACTTTTCTGGTATCTGAAAAATTCCAGGGATGGGGGATATTTTTCTGGGTCCGAGAGATGATAAATGTGCAATTTCTGGAACTCCCGAGAAAATTTTTCCGTTACCCGGAAAATCCCGGGACGAGAATTTTTCTCCGGCTTCGAGTCGTCTCGTTACCCGGATATCTCTCATTTCCAGAAGTGCTCTGCACCAACTGTTCCAGCTAACAAAGATATTACATTTTATGGTGTGTGTGTGTGTGTGTGTGTGTGTGTGTGTGTGTGTGTGTGTGTGTGTGTGTGTCAATGATTGAACTGACCAATGAAAAATAATATACGCGTTATTATAAATCAAATCACTTGATTCTCTACAGGACAATTCCGTGAGTAATCTCAACTTATATAATACAATATCTAATTTTTACTCGGTTTACTGGTTGAGCAAACAGATCATAGACCACAAGCTTTCTATCCAAATATTAGGCATACAAAACTTATCACATGGAATAATAGACCTTAAACATTAAAAAAAATACTTAACTTATCTAAATGCTCCCACTTTTAAGAGTTCCATTCATTATTGTTATAAGTAGCAGGCTGACTATCTACACCAATATGTATACATAAATGGTTCTTAAACACTCAAGTACTGTACTGTACTTTGCATACCTATATGCTTGTAATAAAATATATATCCATTCAAAAAGGAAGAAACAATAATAATGATACTAATAATAATAATAATAATAATAATAATAATAATAATAATAATAATAATAATAATAATAATAATAATGATAAAATTGACAGGCTAATTATAGTTATACTGTACTGTACTGTACAGTATTGGGATGTACACTTCTATATTTTGTAAACTAATACATTGATATGAAACATACAGCTAAAACCACCTTTAAAAAATATAAATAAAATACAAAAATAAAATAAATAAGAGAGAGAGAGAGAGAGAGAGAGAGAGAGAGAGAGAGAGAGAGAGAGAGAGAGAGAGAGAGAGAGAGAGAGAATGACACCTCACCTCCATTATCTCAAGACTTTACATATAACTTTTTCCATCTACCATTATGCTACATATCTTACATGATCTGCTAGATTTTTTAAGAATCAATTGGAAAGAATACTTTATGTCTTGTTTATTATGTTCTGGATAACTAAGGTACTTGTATTGACATTATTATGAGCAAGTTCCAGAGTACCACAACTGCCATGTGTATACAGTTACTGTCGTCTACTGATCACCGAGTAATTTAATCACTATTATTCCAAGAGATAGGAGACACTTCTGTAGTGCAATTGTATCTGCCGGCTTATCAGGTGTGTTAACAGGGTGTGTGTTAACAGAATATGTGTTTTGGGAGAGCAAAATGTTTTCCCAAGTGATTTGCTAACAATAAGAGTTTGCTAATTAAAAATGGTGTACTGTATAAAATATTCCTTAAACTTGAACTATCTAAAGTTTACTCATATGTATTTTTTTTCTGTTAGAATCAAGGAGGGAATCTAAAACTGGTGCTTAATGTTACTTGTAATCCTAAAATGTGTTAGCAATATGAATTATTCAGCCAATAAAAGTGGTGGATTAATTCTGAAATCCCATTCTATAACAAAGTTTGAAAAAAAAATTAGAAAATACTCTGGAATATCCCAGCTATGCCTATGGGTTTTGGAGCTCAAGGAATCCCCATATTCAGCAGCAAGAAGTAATCTAAAGATTACCCATTTCCTCCACAGCAAACCTTACCTTTTAACTCTTTAGAGGACAGTGCCTCACTTAGGTATTTTCTTCTGGCTAACACCGACAATTTTGGTCAGCTGAAAGAAACCCCTGCCCTCTAAAGGATTAAAAACAGACAGAATAACCAAAGTTGCCCAAAGGCTGAGAGATAACAGGTCAGATGCTTCCAATTCTTCAATTGTCAAGCTCAATTATATAATTGCATCAAAATTAACCTCACAATCATCTGACCTCCAAAGAAGGTCCCAGGGAGGAGAGTAAAATGCAAGTAATTCTTTCCAAGTTCAGTTGTAAAACAGGACTTCCGAGTGATTTCACAATTATAACTTAATAACTGTCAAGAATATAGCACAAATAATACAAAGGAGGTGTGGAAACATCCAAGATCTGTGAGAAACACTAAGGGAAAACAATCCACA